TGTGATGTCACAAAAACGAACACATTTGCATATATCCAAGATCTTGTAGAGAGGAGAATTACCACTCTGCAACGTCTTCCGGGTTTTTCAGATGCTCCCTAGTGAATCCAAATGAATGGGTTGATATGGAGCATTTGAGCAAAATCATAGTTTATAAATGCTCAAACATTTTTAATGTAAAAGAATACATTCATTTCCTGAACACAGAACAGCAAAAAGTTTTTAACACCGCTGTTATATTTTTAAGAGCTTTTAAACTCGAGTTATAGGAGTTTAAAACGGTGCCTCATGTACATTCATGACATCTGTGAGCGTGAACAGCCAATGAGCTGCTCCGCTCGCCAACCAATCAGCACTCAGTAGTAGTAATGCCAGCGTTCTGTTGCCCAAAACCCATTTGCTGTAGAATAAAGGAAACATCCAGGTGAGTTTTCGTAGCTTTTTTGGTGAAATACGAACTTATACTTTCTAAAACTAAAACGTTCTGAAAGTTCGGGGCGAGTGATTAGAAACTATTCTAGCTGTTGAGCTCAATTTACTCCCATTCATTGAGGACTCCCTCTTGGGCGCCCTCTGCTGTTTGGCAGTCTTGTTTCTGACATAATGGGGGGAAATAGGAAGTGGCCAGACTCCTCATAAACCGGCTCTGATATATCCACCTGTTCAGCCTACAGCAGTTTAGCCCCACCCATTCATGCTGATGTTATAAGGAGTGCTGCAGCCCAGACTGCTTTTTGAATCATTCACAATTCAGGTACAGCCAATCAGAACAGAGCCAAATTTACATATATCAGTCTTAAAGACACAGTAACCAAAACCGCCTCTTTAATTCTAAGGGATAAAGAGAGGTCATGTACAAACGACCTATGACTATTTTTGGTACACAACTTGTATAAGTGGATAACAGGGACAGAAGTAAAACTCATAAAGTGTGGGATATGGGCCCTTTAAGGCAACGTATCTCCAAGTGCAGAGTTTGGCTCTGAGACTACAGTTCAATTCCAAGCTAGACACTTGGCAACTGTGGCCCAGGATACACGAGTACAACTGCCATGCTTTCAGTTTTATTGATGTAAGTGATCTGCTGCTCATCCAGCGTCTTTCATTAGCTGATAAAGAGATAAAAGCAGCTGGGAGGGTTGATCAAGATAGATGGCAGATTATGGGGAATGTAATTACGGCTCTGTCTAATAAAACAATAGGCTGGGGTGAGATAACCCCCCCCAACAAAGAAACATGCATCCTCTGTGTTGTTTTCTGATGACCTTTGTGTGGTGCAGATGATTCCTTTACTGGTAGGGAATGTCATAAAATACAAACCGATCTATTTGAAGCTACGAAGCCTTAACAATAAGACCTTTTTTACATGTATGGTGCTAAATGTTGCCTTTTTTCTTATCCATTCTCAGTTTTGCAGTACAAGAACACTTCACTTGTATGTTTTCCAGGCAAATTCACTTTAGTAACCCTTAAAAAGGATCATTATCATAAAGGATCATATGTTTTAGGTCTTACCAGTGTGTCAATTACATAACATTGAAGTCAGAACGTTACCGTGAGAAACAGAGGCCTAGTTAAAGAGCCCATATTATAGAAAACTGCGTGAAATTTCCTCATTTTTTGGAAAATAAGAGCTTGATATAATATGTAAAGACTGTTTAAAGTGCACTCTTCACTACATACAGTTCATATATTAAAACTAAGCTTAACAGCTTTTCTTGAATGAATTGTTTTTGTGATTTGCATATATCCACCTTTAACCCTTGTGTGGTGTTGATGTGTTTGTTCCTCAGTGGTCTGGTGGACCCACCACATTGTTGTTTTTTTACAATACAGCCATAACAATTAATGACCCGCACTCCTCTATGTGTCATTTTTTCATCTCCTGCTCCTCCCATAGAGTCCCATTCATTTTCTTCCCCAACAAAGACCTAGTCTTTCTTTTTCCCAAAAGCCGCTGAAATGCATGTACTCACTCAGGTCAGATCCCCAAGCTCTAATCCACAGCCACACTGACCCGCACTCCTCTATATGTTGTTTTTTCATCCCTCGTTTCTCCCATAGAGTCCCATTCATTTTCTGTCCCAAGGAAGCCCTAATCTGTCTTTTTCCTGACAGCCACCAAAGAACATGTACTCACTCAGAGGAGGTCCTCAAGCTCTAATCCACAGACATACTGACCCGCACTCTTCTATGTGTTGTTTTTTCATCCCCTTTTCCTCCCATTGAGTCCAATTCATTTTTCAGCCCCAAAAAAGCCCTAATCTTTCTTTTTCCCGACAGCCACCAAACTACATGTACTCACTCAGGGCAGGTCCCCAAGCTCTAAGCCACAGACATACTGACCCGCACTCCTCTATGTGTTGTTTTTTCATCCCTCATTCCTCCCGTAGAATCCCATTCATTTTAAACAACACAAAGCTACCACTTGGTAACTCCCTACGAAAAACTAAATACACACCCCATACACTGTGGCAATTGCCTAGCAGTAATTTAGCAATGGCATGGGATACCATAGCAACTGCCTAGCAACACTTTAGGTCACCTGGTATATCGTAATAACCGCTGCGCAACCATTCCGCGTTTCCTTCAGGAAATGCACTTTTCTAGTTTTATATGTTCTTCATAGAAAATTAGCAAAGGATAAAAAATAAAATAATAATAAATCGCATCATTTTTTCTTTTGGTAAACACTGAAAACGGTTCCCACAGACCCCAACACCACACAAGGCTTAACCCAGACTATTCACATTGATGTTACAAGGAGTGTTTTAGCCTGGACTGCTTTTAGAATATGGTATACAATACAGGGCAGCCAATTAGAGCAGAGCTCACTTATGTATATCGGTCTTAAAGGCACAGTAACAATAGCCTGAATACATAGATAAATACATAAAACCACACAATGTAAGTAGAAAAAATTAAATATAAGAAAAATGTAGGATATGGGCCCTTTAAGGACACCACATATCCGATCCAGATGTTTATACTTGAGCTAAAGCAGTTACAGTTTCTATTAAGGGGAACTTTGCCTTATAAGTTCCATTACCTGGGAATGATGCTTCATAACATTGTTATAAATGGAAACAAATGTCTGTCAGTTTCGTTTAAGTCCCTTGTATAAATGCCAGGTTATTTACTTTATAAAATATCTCGTCATCTTGAGATAAGACACATAAAGCAGAACTCAAGTGTTACTTCATGAATATGTTATTCAGTGCATTACGCCTGTGTTATGAAGTCATTATGTACACAGCCATCAAACCGTTACTGAAACGTGTTTTTTTTTTCTTAACTTACTTCATTCCTCACTTTATCTAATCATCTTACTCTTGACTGACTTAACTTCATTGTTTCTTCAGCTGGTTGCGCAACTCGGAAGAACAGTAGATAATGTGACAGCGTCACACCTCCTAGTTTAGGAGCACATGGGTATCAGCAGAGTAACTGAAGACTATTAGTGTCTATTCTTCTGTTTTTGGATCCTTTAAAGTCTAAAATAAAATGTGAAAGCTCAACGTTTAGAGCTGTGACCAAACGCAAAGCAGTCAAGATGTTAACACCATACAATGAAATGAAACACCAAAAAGCTCTTTAAAAAGTAAACTGTAAGGAATGTCAAATACAAAAATCATCTCTATGAAGCCACAAAGCCTTAAAGGGCCCATTTCCAACACTTTTCTCACATTTTATATATTTTATATATTTCCCCCTGAGATCCTGAGGTCACAATTCATTTTTATAAGAAATTCAACTTTGATTTTTTTCAAGAAACTGAGCGAAATTCTGTTTTCCATTATATGGGCCCTTTAACGATACAGCATTTTTGTGCTAAATAGTGTTTTACTAGTCCAATCTCATTTTTGCATGTAATTAGTAAGAATAGCTAACAGGTAGTTAGTGGCTAAAATGCAACCGAGTACAAAAAAGTACTTCCCCTTACTAATAATAATGAATAATGCTAAAATAATACAATTAATAATAAAAATAATAATAAGAAGAAGAATAAATAAATAAATAAATAAATTCATCTAGTTTTGCTGTACGCGCATCTATAAAAATATTTTACTAAAACAATTAGGTTTCATCTAATCAGTAAACGCTGTGAAAAATGAAGAAATGTTGTCCAGAATGATGAACAGAGCTGTAAAATGACCGAAAAAGCTGTATAGCATTGAAAAATGAATCATAATAAAAGGATTATTCTGAACGTCTTATATGTGAACAGTGGTGATCGTATTGTGGCACCTTTATCAAGGTATTGCAGTAATTATATCATTAGAGTATTTTATCACTTAATAACTTCCTAAAAATGTGAATACCAAATATTAAAACATCTTCAAATATCTTCTGGTGTCTAGTTTGTGATTTTTCAATCTACACTGTATAAACTATTACTGAATAAAATAACAGAAATTATTAATACGACAGGTGATTCAAAATAATTTTACTTGAGCACAAAGAACTGAGTAAATGGATCTATGTAGCATGTTTTGGACACTCATTGGTCACCTTCTATCTACACTCATTGTTCATGAATCAGACACAGCAGTGCTGCTGGAGTTTTGAACAAAGTGTGGCTGCTGGACTGAGAACCAAAAGCATCCAGCCAGTCCTGTGGGCAGCGTCCTGTGACCAAGGATGAAGGACTAGAGGATGACCAACACAAACTGTGCAGCAGCAGATGAGCTATCGTCTCCGACTTTACATCTACAAGGTGGACTGACAAGGTAGGAGTGTCTAATAGAGTGGACAGTGAGTGGGAGTGTTTAAAACTCCAGCAGCACTGCTGTGTCTGATCCACTCAGACCAGCGCAACACACCACCACGTCAGTCTATATGGTATAGTGTGCTCCTATATGGTAAGTGGAGCTGATAAAATGGACACTGAGAGTAAAAACAAGGAGGTGGTTTTCGGAAGACGAAGTGTTCAGTGAGTGTATGTCCTGAGCGTGTGCAGTTACCCGCCGCTAGAGGGCGCCAACCAGCGCGAACACAGCGCCTTCACTGACAGCGCAGCCGCCTTCAGCTCCAAAACACACCGCCGTTTTATGAATTTCATCGCTTTTTTACGGACTGTTTTACTCACCGAGGCGTTTCTACACGTCTGACCGCTGAAGGGGCGAGGCTGGGGTCCGCTCCGGGAACTGTGCTGTGCAGTGCGTGAATGTGCATGTGTGGTCAGTCTGCTCGTTTCCGCTGTGGTTATTATTATTATTTTGTTTATTAAGCTCATAATGAGAATCTGGGACTCATAGAGGAGATCAGATCAGAAACTGGAGGAAGGAGACAGCGATTCAAGCCCCCTGCGTCATCACCATCCTCACCACCATCATCATCATGACCACCATCGCTACTGACAGGTAACTGAAAATAACGACCAATCCTTAATCATTAATCTATATTTATGGATATCGGTGGGGGGTATTAACACTGGCCTGCCATAAGACTCGCCAATTGTGTGGTCATGCTTATAATAGCTCATTACTGTATGTGGGAGTTGCCAGTTAAGGCCCTGTTTTTGGAACTGATCGATAATCTTTGGTGTAATCTGATCACTGATCAATACCCAAATAGCAAGCAAATATGGGTCAGCTGGCTATATAAGGTGGCACCACGCGGACTCTATGCCATTGCTGCCCCCCCTCGGACCACCCAGATTACTGTCCTGCATACAAGGTCTAACTAGTTTTTAATCTCCTCAAATAGATTTTTAGCCTTTTATTTTGGAAAAATAAGACAAATATTACAAACAGTAGAGACAAAAATAATTAGGCCTAATATAAAATGATTTAGATTAAAATATAATAATATAAATATAATAAAGCTGCATAACCAGCTTTATTTATGATATTGCTGTTAAAATTCTTCATTAAACTAATTTAAAGGATAACAAAAGAAAGAAACATAGGGAAGATAAGTTGGACTGAAAGTGGAAAACAAGCTAAAAAGTGGCATTTCGTCTAATACTGTGGTTAACCACTGGTGGGCCTCCCGGAAAACGCTTAGCAAAAGACAGTGGGCCACCAGCTCTGCCGTCAGTGGGCCAACAGTGGCCCGCTCAGCTCTTAATATCTGGGTACCCTCACTGGTGCTGATCATATACACTGCTGCTTTCAGGGCCTCTGTCTGGCCCCCTTTTGCCGCTGAGAGCCAGCGCCGTTGCCATCTTTCACCCTCCTACTGTGAAAACCCATTTTGCACTGACTGGGATAAATCAGAGTGAATTATTGGCTTTGGAGGCATGTGATGTGTTAATCTGGCTGTGGATGCAGGCTGAAGGCCAAAATGAGCTCCCCCTTTAAAGGAGAATTCCACCCATGTTTCAATATTTCTGCACAATTCAGTGGTTGAGATGTAAACAAAGTCATTCAGAGAGGTTTGATGTGAAACAGTTCATTGTAGAGACAAATATAGCCATTTTATTTACAGTCCAAAACCACCAGGAGGTGACAGTTTTCTTTGGGGACTGTTTTGCCTTATAACGCCCTGCATGTACCCCAAAACTATCGTGAGACAGTGTCTCGGGCATCAGGCAGTGAATTCATAACCACTTCATGTAGTAACTTTCTGTGAGGGAGCTTTTAGAGGTGGATGTCTGGTTCCCATCACCACCACTGTGAACAGTTCTGACTTGGTAACCCTGCTGAAAAAGGACCATTAGAAACTATTAGGATTAAAACCTAATGTTTTTGCTTTCTAATGGGAATTGGCTTATTGGTTTCAAATACAGATCACTAGTTTCTTGCAGAAAACCTGAAGATCCCGTTAGGAAACCATCAAAAGCATTTAGAATCAGCCATTAGTCACCATTTAAACCATTAGGATCCTTTACTCTGTGATGTCAACCCAAAAGGCCAAAATGCAATCAGGAACCAACTTTCTATGGGTTTTTTCAGCAGGGAAGTTTCTCTATAATGAAGCATTTCACAGCAAACCACTCTGAATGACTTTGTTTACATCTCAACCATTTAAATACACAGCAGATTTGAAAAATGGAGGGAATTCTCCTTTAACCCTCTCACTTGTATCCGCAGCTCTGCTCCTAATGTAGGCCTGTGTGACGTGATCAGTATAGCATAGTCTACAGTGAACACGTACAAACGTTCAGCAAGCCATGGATGTAAATTGGAGGAGTGAATCCAGCCCCGTAGATGTTAATTTATTGCTGAGAAAGGTAAAGGGAGTTTGATGATGTATGTTAACAATGTTAAAGTTTCGAAATGTACGCTTCACTCCTCAGTCCATACATGGAAACTAAGCTGCATGTCACATTTGAATATATCTGCCTATTTAGTGCTCAGCAGTTTAGTGTTTAGGACCATTAACCAACTGTGTTTGCCCACAGAGGAGTTAGACCTCTGCATTTTTACCCATCCGTGCAGTGAAACACCCACATACATGCACAGTAGTGAACATACACACTAGGGGGCAGTGAGCACACTTGCCCGGAGCGGTGGGCAGCCCTATCCGCGGCGCCCGGGGAGCAGTTGGGGGTTAGGTGCCTTGCTCAAGGGCACTTCAGTCACATACTGTCGGCTCAGGGGATCGAACCAGCGACCTTCCGGTCCCAAGGCTGGTTTCCTAACCTCTAGCTCCACCCATTCACGCTGTGAAGTGATAAGGAGTGTTTCAGCCCCACTTTTTGAAAGAGGCACAGTACAGGGCAGCCAATCAGAACAGAGCTCATTTTAAATACATCAGTCTAAAGTCTCAGTAACAAAAACAGCCTGTTTAGTTTGGCGTAAAGACAGTTTGGAAAATGGTCATGAATTATGACTGTTTTGGTCCATAAAATCACACAAGCATTATAAGTGGCCCGTATTATTATAAGGAAAATGCAAGATATGGACCCTTTAATTCAGCACTGTAGGTGTTAAAAGAATATTCCAGCTTTTTTCAACCTCTTCTTTATCTGCCGCACCTTTATCATACTGTTAGACAGCAGAGACGATCATTTAATTTCTCTGTATTTAGAAAAAAAGAACAGAAAAAAACCCGTCGACTTATTCATAATAGAAGCCAACTCAAATACATATGTGCTAAATGGAGATTAGAAAACAGAGAGTTCACAGATTTCTTCTCATTCACAAGGTATTAAAGGGGAATTCCACAGATTTTTCAGTATTTCTGTTTAATTTATTCATTAAGATGTAAGCAAAGTCATTCAGATTTGCTTGTTGTGAAATGTAAATGGAGTTTATGATAGTTTTTGAGAAGATATCGGCCTACAATATATTTAAAACCATTTATAGCAGAGAGATATATGCAGTGTGCTGTAAGGCAAAGTAGTTCCCCAAGTAAAATGTATTTTTTTCTGATTCACCACTTGTTTTTACCTTTGAATTGCATTGTAGACATCACAACCCCTGAATCCTGTCAGCACCATTGTAAAGAAATCAGAGTCAGTAAGTTCCTCTCCAATGAAACATTTCATATCAATCCTCTCTGAATGACTTTTTCCACAATTGAATTATGCAGTAATTTTGAAAAGTCTGTGACATTGCCCTTTAATAGAACACAGTACGTGTTAATTCAGCACTGTGGTATTTCAGTACTGTAGGTACTGTTCAGTACTGTTCACTTAAAGATAAGGAATGTGCTGTGTGTGACGTGCATTTTGAAACGCTATGCTATGACCATGTTTCTATCTTTGTATCTTTTCCTTTCATAATGATCATCTATAGAGATATACATTCTCTCAGAGTATGAACATATGTGGCTCATTCTCCATTTGGAGTGGGAATTCAGGTGAATATATTTTTAAAAAAATCGGTTTCTTTCATCATAAACTAAATAATCTTAATATGTACATTAACATCTCCTATTATCATATATGCTAAAAGAAGAGCTTAACTCCAAACATATTTCACAGTCACTGGTGTTGTATGAATATGGTGTAACACCAGTGACGGTGACTCCAGTGACATTCTGGTTAAAACTGAAGATTCTGTAAACTGGCTGACTCGTTGGTGGTCAGGTGACCTTGTGCAACTATTTAAAATCAGTAATAAAAATGATATACGGCATTATTTTGACAAAAGTTTAATTACCCAGACATTAAAGCACAAAACACCGGTGACATATAGAAGTAATGTGCTGCCTAATAAACAAAATTATCAATAAATTATTGAAATATAGTGAGCGAGTGTGACTCGCCTTCTCATGCCTTGAGATGCTTCTTCTCTGATGAGCCTCGACTCAAAGAAGCAGTTTAATAGAGCTGAAAATACCGTGTTAAAATGTAAAATAAGAGTCCTGAAAACACCAGTGACCAAAATCACTGTGACAAATGAATTTTTTTAAATAAAATACAGATTTTTTAAATGTAGTATAACGGTAACAATAGAAAAGTAAACAAATCTGCTTTATAATGTCAAACCTCTGAAAAATATTGTTTTATATTAAAAATGGTTCCCAAATGTTGAAAACTGGAGCTGTTTTACAGATGCAGAGCGACTATGAAACAGGATAAAAAAAGAAAAATCAGAGAAATCTTAATGGGAAAGTGTTATTTAATCTTAGGTCAACTGTGTAAATGGACATACTGACTTTTGGAGCTGCGCCTCATATTTTAAGCATCTTTTTAAGCCCTGCAACCTTTGTGACATGGTTTCCCGCTCCAAATGGAGAATGACCCATATATCGCTGCTGGCGGAAAAAAACCTTAAACCTCCATTTTTGTCATTTTTCAATTTTGACATAATTTGAAAATACCTGTTGTCCTTTACATTGTTTGTAAATCTCATGATGAATGGACCAAAAGAAATGACCCAAAGTGACTTGGAAAAAATTCTGGTTCCATTGACTTACATTGAAAGTAAAGAATGTTTTTTCCTTCTCCTGTAAAGTTACCATTTTGGAGATGCAAGGTTTTCCTCCGACAACAGCGATACGTAAATAGTATGTAGAAACAGTATAAATCATAAGGTGAGGCAGAACACTGGGTTTCTTAGGCTCAGCGTCTGAGCCACTGACGGCAACCCACCTGGTGAATGAGGGTGTCTTCATTCTTCAGTATTAATCACAGTATTAATCTTTAATCAGGCAGTGATTAAGATGCATTGGTGATTAAGATGTAATCTCTGTGTATCCGTCTCTGTCTCACCCTCACTCACGCCCGCCCCCTCATTCTCTCTGTGTGCAGGATGGAGGAGCTGCTGAACCAGTGGCTGTGGCAGGAGAACTTCTGGCTGCCCCCTGGTGCGGCATGGCAGGACGTTGGGAATGACGCCATTGAGGGCAGTCGGCGTCCACTTCCTCGCGACTTACTCCTCACCCTTCCTTTGGCACTGGGCTTCATTGCTGTCCGGTTTGTGTTCGAAAGGTCAGTTTGTTTGCACTGTAGTGTGCTCTAATAGCTTCAGGAGGTGTTTCTGAGTGGAGAGACATATATGGAGATGACATTTCAGATTTTTATGCTCCAGAAACCCCCATCCCCATTCTAATCTCATGAACGTTCAAGCAGCAACATAGTAACATGTACCGTGCATGGGGTCCTCCGTTCATACACTTATGTGTAGTGTCTCAGGCCCACCTACCTTGTATCTACGCTCAGGCACACCCATCATATACAGAACAATATCATATTCAAAAGAAGTATGTGGACATTTTAAGCATTGTTAAACTTTAATGACGTTCTTTAAATTATACATAAAGTGTTTAAAGGGCCTTTTCCTGTAGTGTGTTTTGCACTTGAGGTCCACATATAACATTTGTCTAGTTTGTGTCGTAAAAATGGAGAATCCATTCTAATCTCATGAAGAGCTGTACAGTGAAGCAGCAACATAGTAAATGGGCTGTGCAGGGGTCCTCCGTTCACGCACGAAAATGGCCATTTTATCATATGCAGCACACAAAAGAACATATTTGAACACTTTAATCACTGTTAAACTTAAATGCCGATTTCTACATAAAGTGTTTAAAGGGGCTAGATATAATATTTGTGTGGTCTGTGTAGCAAAAATGGTCATAATCCATTTTTATATGACCATTTTCCATCCTCCCTTTATCCCTTACAATTAAACAGTTTTTTTATGGTGCCTGTAAGGCTGATATATGTAAATGAGCTCTTTTGCGATCGGCCTGTATTTTGCCTCATTCAAAAAGTCATTCAGGTTTAAACACTTCTTATAACTTCGGTGAGAGTGGGTGGTGCTAAACTGCTGTAGGCTGAATAGGTGGATATTTGCAAATGTGTTGGTTTGCATGACATCGTGACCATTTTCAAAGTTCTCTTTATGGTTTACACCGTGTCCTAACAGCAAGCAAGCATTCAAATGTAGTATCGCCTGGCGTCACTTGTCTACACTGGAAACGTCAAGCGCGCTCGTCGAGTGAAAATGTAAACAAACCTGGACCAGAAAATAGTTAAATAGTTCAAAAATGGGTGAGTATGCTGGCTATGCTGTTTATTGTCAGCATACCAGCCCATTTTAGGTACACATTGTATAACTGTGTGTATATTAAATTTTAAAAAATAGTAATAATACATATTTATAATAAATTCAAAAGCCTATAGCAGATAACACTAGTTATTTGGTTAACTAATCTACCTTAATGGGCTAATGATACATCTAACTTGGCTATATAATGTAGTTAAACACAGCATTTCTGTTTGTAATGTTATTCTATTTTTTATCTTATCTTTTTTTCCCCCACATATATATAAATAACCAGTTTGTTGGGTCATAGAGATCCCTTCTTTTCTCCACTTCATGGATGAGTTTCTCCTTATCCGTTTTGGGGTGGGATGGCAGAGTGATGCTTTATAAATAGAAACCATGTCGCATCACACCACATCATATCTGCCACTCACGGCTGGTGTAGACAGCTTCAGACGTTCTAATGGAAGTGTTTTGGTTTTGTCATTGTCTCTGACGTTGCTTGCTGTTAGGACTTGGTGTCAGAAGTATGCAGGCTGTTTTTATTTCCCTGCCTTCCTGATATAAGATGATTGAGCTGTGTTCTGATTGGCAGCCCTAATTCAAAAAAGCACGGAAACACTGCTTAGGGTCCCGTTTCTGTACTAACATGCCCTCGCCCACCTCAGCTCATAACTGACATCACACATACGTAAAACACTTCATTTTATAAGAGCCCCCTACCTTGTCAGTGTCACTGCTGTCCTGCGAATCTGGTCAGTGGTGGCCCTATGGTGGTCCCTTTTCATTGATAAATAAGGGCCTGATAAACTGTGCAGCAACAGATGGGCTACACTCTGTACCTGGAAAGCTACTGTGTGCACCTATGTGGTAGGTGTTTTTGATAAAATGGCCAGTGAGTGCAGGTGTAAGGTCAGAGGGGTTAATAAAGAAGCAATTAACAGTGTAAGTCCATATTCTGTCCTCTTAAAATGTCACAGAGTTACAACTGGGAAAGTCCCAGGTGACACTACGAACCCAGTGACCTGTGGTGACTATGGTTTTAGTGACTAATCTAATGCAAATGGTTTCCCAACAGCGTTGATAGTGTAAAACTGTCACAACATTTATGTTAAATTTGTGTTAAATTGTGTTACATTTGTGTTAAAAATAAAAGAATGAGCAAGGTTTGGGGGGTGGGGTTGAGACCCCAGACTGATAGAAATTAAGGTGTGCATTAAGGATTAAACTCACTAAAAAATTGTAGTTTTCTTTTTGGGATTAATAAAATTTCTATTAATCTATATAGAAAAACATGGGTAAGGAATGTTCTTGAAATTGGTCAAGTTGTACATGTAAAATGATTCTGTGTTTACTTACGTTAAGACACAGTTAATCAGCTGCTAAATGGGTAACTTTAGCGTGGAGCTGTAGGTGAGGTGGGAGTGGACGTAAGGAACAGGTGTCGTGACCCCATCCATTTCCTATATTGCTGCTGAAACTGGAGCTGTCACTGCAGACAACCTTATCTCTGGAACTTCCACATCTACTCTCACCTGATTAGGCTTCTTGAGTTACATACACACAAAAACACAGGATTGTTTTTATACTTTGTCGTGGCGTCACATGTGTGTTCCATATTTAATAATATATAGGCTATATGGACGTACCTATATGGATCAGGCATAACGTTATGACCACCTCCTTGTTTCTACGCTCATTGTCCGTTTTATCAGCTCCACTTACTATATAGGTGCACTTTGTAGTTCTACAGTTACAGACTGTAGTCCATCTGTTTCTCTGCATACTTTGTTAGCCCCCTTTTACCCTCAGTTCCTCAGTGGTCAGGACCCCCATGGACCCTCACAGAGCAGGTACTATTTGGGTGGTGGATCATTCTCAGCACTGCAGTAACACTGACGTGGTGGTGGTGTGTTAGTGTGTGTTGTGCTGGTTTGAGTGGATCAGACACAGCAGTGCTGCTAGAGTTTTTAAACACTGTGTCCACTCACTGTCCACTCTATTAGACACTCTTACCTTGTCAGTCCACCTTGTAGATGTAAAGTCAAAGACGATAGCTCATCTGCTGCTGCACAGTTTGCGTTGGTCATCCTCTAGTGCTTCTTCAGTGGTCACAGGACGCTGCCCACAGGACGCTGTTGGCTGGATGTTTTTGGTTCCCAGTCCAGCAGCGACAATTAGGTGTTTAAAAACTCCAGCAGCACTGCTGTGTCTGATCCACTTGCACCAGCGCAACATACACCAACACACCACCACCACATCAGTGTTACTGCAGTGCTGAGAATGATCCACCACCCAAATAGTACCTGCTCTGTGGGGGTCCTGACCACTAAAGAACAGAGAAACAGATGGACTACAGTCTGTAACTGTAGAACTACAAAGTGCTCCTATATGGTCAGTGGAGCTGATAAAATGGACAGAGATGTATGTATCTATCTAAATGTAATAATATTGTGCATATGTATTATATAGATGTAAGTATCTATATGTAATAAGGGACTTTACAAAGTCAGGACCACTGTGTTGGTCCTGTATGTTAGCCCTGTCGAGTCATCTTTGTGCTGAAAAAGTACGAAGACAAAGACACAAACCTCCTCAGCCACTGAATCGGATGTACGCTGAGGCCGTATCAGTTTAAACAAAGCTGTCTGGCCAAATGTCAGTCACAGTGTCAGTCACAGTGCAGAGGAGAAGGTGTGAAGTGTCAGAGTGTGTGCCAGAGCACTGAGTCACTCCCTCATTCATGCCATGCCATCTCTTTTGTTTTAGGGTTGTGGCGCTGCCTCTGAGCAGGACGCTGGGAGTGTGTGACAGGGTGCGTGCTCGAGCACCACCCGAACCCAAACTGGAGGCTTTTTACCTGCAGAGAAAGAACCACTACTCACAGGTGAGTGGAGAAAGTTGTGTGACAGGTGCCAACAAAACTCCCTCGAAAGGCCTCATCCAGCAACGCTGTGACCTGCTCAACTCCCCCACAGCGCTTTCACGTCTTCTTACATTTTGTTTGGTCATTTCTCACTCGTAGTTCATTGCAACAAGAAGAAAGATTGTGTGGAAAGTTTTATGAAACGTTCATATCATATCATATTGTTTGGAGATATTTTATTATGCTTTAAATTTGATGATGATGAATTATTCTTACTATTATATGCAGTCTAGTTTTACAGAAACTTGTTTTTGTAATTTTTTAAACTTGATTAAAAAAAAACAGAAGCACAAACTTCCAATGCAGAAATGAACATGTAATTAATTGTGTAATTATGTATCATGGGCTTAGAATTATCAGCATTCAGCGCACTATTACTGCAATATTGAGGGTCAAAGATTTTACATTCGTCATCTACAGTGGTGCTACAGACCGTAATGACCCGGCAGCACCAAAACACAAAGAGTTTTAGTTGGTGGGTGGGGCCTTGTTTTAGCCACGCCCCTGCATTTTAGAGCAGGAAGTGAGACTGCATCCCTGTCCCTGATGGCCACATGGTGAGCAGTTAGATCCCATTGTTTTGAAGTAAATGTGTCTCAAACTCTGAAAATCACTGTGGAATACTAAGAATTGTCACTTCTGAAACACACACACACATATCATCTAAACCGCTTATCCTTCTGGGTCACGGTGGGGTGCTGGAGCCTATCCCAGCTGTCATTGGACAAAAGGCAGGATACACCCTGGACAGGTCGCCAGTCCATCGCAGGGCAGACAGACAAACACATTCACGCACACTCACACCTAGGGGCAATTTAGCACGTCCAGTCAGCCTGACTGCTTGTCTTTGGACTGTGGGAGGAGACCAGAGTACCCGGAGGAAACCCACGCAGACACGGGGAGAACAGGCAAACTCCACACAGAAATGACCCTGGTCACCCGGCCGGGAATCGAACCCAGGCCATTCTTGCTGTGAGGCAGCAGCGCTACCCGAAACACAATTTATGCAATTTTTTGTGGTTTAATAAAAATAGTATGATTTTATATGTTTACAACTGTTCAAAGCTGCGTTTGTTGGTCATGTACTGACTAGTGTTTTGGTGAGTTCTGCTCAGAATGAGCTAAAATTGTCACCACCGAAACATCAAGATTGTCAACACTGTAGTGACACTGATGCGGTGTGGGCGTTTTAGTGTGTGTTGCTCCAGAAATGTACATGTAATTAATTGTGTAATTATGTGTCATGGGCTTAGAATTATCTGCATTCAGTGCAGTTATTGCAATATTGATGGTCAAAGATTTTACATTCGTCGTCTACGGTGGCGCTACAGACCATAATGACCCGGCGAGCTGTTTCAACATCCCCAGCTAACATGGCTTATCCGCATTTTCACCTGTTTATCGATTCATCACTCTGATGTTAGTTAACGTTATTGTACTTTTATAGCTGTGAAGGAATTTCTTCCACAAAGCATTTATATCCTTTATTTAGTCTGGACTCCCTCAGTGTTGTGTGTTTGGTTCTCCAACAATTCTGGACACATTCTTGAATTTCAGTCTTGGCAGCTATGACAAAGACAAAGTGAGACACATTTCTGTGGTTAATACCTGTCGGTGAGACAATAGCTGAAGTTGTTTTAGACACTGCGTTTACACACTTCCGTTTCTTGTGAAAAGGATGTATTGTAGAGACTCAGATTTCTTTACAGTTGTGGTGATAGGAACCAGGGCTCACCACAACTACAACACAAATACCCAGAGAAAAACTACTGTCTTAAGATTGTCTCCAAGAAATAAAGCAGATCTCAATATTATATTGATGAAGGATCACTGATTTCTGAACTGTTTCTCCTGAACCCCCCGTAGGAGAAAAGAGGAGATTAACATCAGCATTTCACTGTGAGAAGCTCTGGTGATGAAGGAGAAACATGTGAGTTCTCCTTTCTGCACTGACAGACTGCTGAGAGAGCTCTGTAACATAGAATAGTGATAAGAAAACAGTGAGATCTCACACTTTTCTTATGGAAATCTTATTCAGCTGAGACTGAGGTGAGACGAGTCAGACACTAAAGAGTTCAGCCACATTTGTGACAATATTTTGATCAAAGTGAGAAAATCTGAGTTTTTATTTCTCAGGAGCCAAATTTCAGAAACAGGAGAAAATGGTCTCAGTCTGATTTCAAACTGGACTTCACTGTGTCTAGGAGAAATACCTGAGATCAAGATGAGACCTCATTTAGAATATTTATTTCGTCTGGGTATAGCTATTTTATATACTATCCAAAACCACCAGTGAAACTACACACGTCTTCTGAGTTATTATATGTAATATTGATGATGGTAAAATAGTGATCAGATCAGTTTTCTTGGGGACTACTTTGTCTTACAACTCCCTGCATGTAAATCTCCTCTTAAAACTACTGTAAAACAGTGTCTCAGGCATCAGGCAGCTTATTTAAAACCATTTAACCATGTATTAACCTTTTCTGAGGGAGCTTTCTAAGGCAATAAGCACTTTGGACGTCTGGTTCCTATCACCACCACTGTGAACAAGTCTGATCCAAGTTTCTCGGAGCATTTCACACCAAACCACTCTGAATGACTTTGTTATTATTTTAATGATTTAATTATGTAGAAGTTATGCAGAATAGGTGGAACTCCCTTTTAAAATCATAGGATACTTGAGCGTAGCCTTTTCCAAACACAGATAGAGCCTGTTAATTTTGTGAGCTCTCATTGTGTCACAGCGTGTTAATAAGAAATATGTCCAGATACCTCCAGATGAGAATTATATCAGTTAAATATCAGGAAATAAAAATCTGCACAAGTTGATTTTGTAGTATACATCTATTATCCTACATCAATATGAGAATTTGGTACTGATGAAATAATGTACATTTATTGTACTGTATACACTACATTTATATTACTACTATTACTACATTAAGTACTATAATGAAAGGATCAATATATTGTGCTAAATCATTATGAGTGGAAAAATGACTCAATACTGCAGGACATCAGCATTAGAAATACTCTGCAAAGTCAGTAGCCAGATAAAGGAGGTAGTTAACTTTAGTATTTTATTTCATAGAAAAACTTCAAAAATGACCATATTAGCTGGTCAGTGAACAGTTTACACTCATACTTGAACTCAGCATTGAGTTCATAATTTTTCATAAGTAACTGCTGCTAACTTGAAAAAACAGTTATATTATGAATTCACTGGCCAGTCAACGGAATTACTACGCTTTCAGTTTACCTTTTACCGCTATCATTTCTTACTAAATTGTATTAAAAAAGTCTAAAAGCTAATTTTATTGGTAACACTTTCTATGAATGTCACCTTTGTAAACATCTATAAACACATTTATAACATGTTATAAGGTATTCATAAGGCATTATAAACATGGTTATAAATATTTATAAAAAAGAATTACACTGAATTGCACTTTATAGCCATGTTTATTATACATTATGAATTGTTAATATAATGCATTATAAATAGTGTTAATAACATGTTATAATGTCAGTGCCAAAGAAGTCAGTCCCAGCTTGGAGAGCGTAAAGTCCAAGCTAATGGTGGTGTACATTACCTTTCCCACATTGGGTAAAACACTGATGCAGCACTAGTTTAAACTCTGACATTTGAAGCCTGTAATGTGCTTTATTATGAATGTTTTAGTGTTTCAGTAAATCCTTCAGTAAATACTTCAACTTGAAGTACAGTACGCTTCACTTTACTTAGAGCGGACAAATACAACTTATGAGCTCTTATAATTTGTTATGATCAGCACTTATAATGTATTATGTTAACAATACATAATGCATAATAAACATGGCTATAATGTATAATGCATTTGTATAAATATTTATAGCCATGTTTATAATATCTTATGCATGCATTATAACATGTTATGAATGCGTTTATAAATGCTTACAAAGGTGACATTCATAGAAAGTGTTACCATTTTATTTGTTACCTGTGAGTCATTATCAAAGCTAAGCCGCTAACACCTCTAAGCAGCCTACTGCTGAGTTTGGGAAATGGGTAAAATGTTAATTCTGAACAGTTTTTCCACATTCGTCTGACTGGATGATGCTGCTGCTGCTGCTTAAACTGTTTTCCCCTTTTTCATATTCTAATATTTTATACTAATACTGTTTACTATCCGGTGTCGACCAGAGGAGGATGGGTTCCCCTTTTGAGTCTTAGTTCCTCTCAAGGTTTCTTCCTCCTTCTCTTATGGGGTTTTTCCTTACCACTGTCTCTATTGGCGATGCTCATGGGGCCTCGGACCTGGATTTTTCTGTAAAGCTGCGTTGTGACAACACCAGCTGTAAAAAGCGCTACATAAATAAACTTTGACTTGGAACCGTTGATAGAACTTTATAAAGCCCTTTTAGTCAGCGATTTTCAAGAAGAAACCTTTTACTTTTTAAAAAACAAACAATATAAGGCTTGTTTTCAAAAAACTTACCACAGGAAAAAATCTGCACTAAATGATTCACTATATCCATAATTCAGTTTCAACAAAGATGTCAGACTGAAACTTGTAATTCGAAGCTCATGGTATGTAAACTCAGTTAAGTGGTCCCTGATAGCAGGAGGATAGTGGGGCACTGTTGGCCCGCTGATGGCAAAGCTGGTGGTCCACTGGCGTTTCGCTTAGCGTTTTCCAGGCGGCCCACCGGTGATTAAACAGAGTAATAGGCAAAATTCCACTTACCATCACTAATTTTCCACTCACAGTCCATTTTACTTATTTTTCCTTTCTTTACTACTTTCCTTTCTTTAGTTATACGTTGTAAATTAGTTTAGTAAATCATTTTAGTTTAGCTCAGTGTCAGCAACAACATTTTCTACAAAACCATTTTATTTTAGTCCTAGTCATTATTTTTTTTCTCTCAGTTGTTTGTAATATTTGTCTTAGTTTATTTTGTAAAATAAAAGTCTTGGTACACCTTGTATGCAGGACAATAATCTAGGTGGTCCGAGGGTGGACCAGCAGTGGCAGCTGTCAGCGGAGTGCCGACCTTATTAAGCCAGCGGACCGATATATCGCTGCTGTCGGAAAAAAACCTTGTATCTCCATTTTTGTTGTTTTTCAGCTTTTGACCTAATTTGAAAGTACCTTTTGTCATTTACATTGTATGTAGATCTCATGATAAATGGACCAAAATAAACAACCCAAAATTAGTTGGAAAAAAATCTGGTTCCATTGACTTACATTAAAAGTAGAGTATGTTTTTTTCATCTCCTGTAAAGTTACCATTTTGGACATATGAGGATGAGGTTTTGCTCCAACAGCAGCGATAAGCTCGCTGTCTGGGGTCTAACATAACGACTAATAACTGCATGACCGTATTGGGCGAATTCGGAGAAGTCATTGCATGGCTGTACTAAAATCGCTGCCATTAAAGTTATATCACCTTTAGTGGCAGCAGTTTTCCATTTTTCAGGCGGAACCCTTTGTGTACAGTGACTGAATCACGCTGAGAACCGGCTCGCTCTGTGTTCGCGCCCTTTTCAGTTACAATTTCTGGAATGGATCCCGTTTGACTTCTCTGGGAAAAAAGCTCCACCCTTGGAGCAGCCTGCCAGAACGTGCAAGCGCAGGCTTGCAGAGGCTTCATGTGCAAGTTTTTAGACTAGCATAATTTATTCATCAGCTGTTCTGTCTGTACTGTGGAACACTATAGAGGAACATTCTTTGCTCTGTCAGTTTCCTTGATCATTTGCAAACCTCACATTTTCATTTTGTGTTTGCTTATGCCTCAAAGGCTCCACAGCGACGGCCTAGGAGAATCCCGATATTTGTTCTAAGTTTAGCATATTGGCATAAGACTACAGTCAAATCATTGTGTTTATGAAAACAATGTGAGGACAGAATCTTTTTGTCCTTAGTTTCTCAGTCGGTTGACTGTGAGGGGCATTTAGTGCTCGTTTAAGCAGATATATCACAGCCCTGTTCTGTCCACAGCACTGAGGAAGCTTCACACCACCCTCTGAGTGGGTGTTAGTGTGGGTTTATTATTAATAGCAGGGATGTTAAAATGCTTTGATGGATTAATGCGTAGATCCGAAGATGGCAATTTAATTGCTTTCATTTTGCAATGTTAGTCTTATGATATTTAAGAATCATATGTTCTGGACAGATAATGCTGTTAGCGCTACGTTAAATTGGTGCGACAGAATTTTGTGCTAATCCTGAACGTTATTTGAGGTTTATTTAACCAAGATATTGAAAACAAACAGAAAGCTTTGAGTGATTTTGTCATGAAATATCAAAACACTCCGATATTTCTAAATAGTAATAGATTGCAAACTAGAAGTTCCTAATGATGTTGGCGATGTTGGCAGTATGACAGTATATATCATTATTGTGATCAATTATGTCACAATACAATACAATCTGCTTTTCTGAATGTATCATGCATGTTGTCAGTACTTGTAGAAAACTGACCAACTGCGTGTTTCATTATAAAGAGAGCAAAATTAGTCCTGTTTAACCTGATTCAGTGCAACACAGCATGCAAAATATTTGAAACATGTTACTGTATTCAGTTTTTGATGTTATTTTTTAAAATGTAGCACTGCTGTTTCTCTGTTCCAACTGATTAGATGTCTGAAAAAAATAGATATCATGACATATCGTGTATCGTGAAAATGTCTTGAAGTATCGCAATATTATATTTTGCCAAATCGTCCACCTCTAATTTTAGCAAGCCAGTATGGCACCAAAGCTCTTACAGTTAAATTCTATTTTTAAACTCGTCTTCCCAGATCAATAGCTTCACCATTTACAAAACTACCGCTGTGTGGTTGAATGAGTTTACCTTCACTTCATTAGGAGCTTTTATTTAGCCGCTGCGATCATGCTAATGTCTGCTGGTGCCTCTATGAGAATCATGTTATGTTAGCGTCAACTAAAGGTGCTGTGCGTTCATTTTCCCTTACTGGGCTTAGTACTACTTATAGCAGGTCAGTCTGCTTTTGAAAGCTGGAAATAAGGGAAAACTATAACCTAATACATTATGTGCACTGTAAAAAAAAAACGGTAAAAATGGTAAAAATGATGCAAAAGGATGTCAGAGAAAACCCGTTAATTTGCAGTAAAACTATGTTTCCTCAGTGTCGGTAAAAATCTGTACAATTGCAGTCATTTAATTTCTTAGTCAGATACTGTTTTACATACTGTTTCAACAGTTCAACAAGATATTTTACCATTAAATTTAAGTGACAACACTTTTTTACAGCGTACATTTTGTCAAGATTTTACCATTAGTGCCAGTGTTTGGTTCAGCTTGCTCTGTTCGTATTTTGTGTATTGTTTTCCATTCTGCTACTCTCTATATTCTGCAGCTGAATACATTTGTTAATACATATGGTTTTAAAACTCATTCTGAATTACATAAATAAATTAATCGAAATGTGGTGAACTGTGAGGTTTGAAGATGCAGTTAATAGTTTCCTAAACAGTTCCTAATCACTATGAAGATTTAGGTGTCTAATTAGTGGTTAGTTCTGAAGGAGTACATGATGATTGGACTGCTTGTGAACTATTTCTGAATTTCTTTAGGACTGAATCTCTTATGCTAACTCATAGGTTTATTTTATCTGTCTGGACAGCTTACTGTACATACTGCCCTTTCTGCTCACCTTATCGCACATCTTGCACATCTGGACACTCCACACCTGGACACTTTATTTCAGTACCAATATCTGCACATATTTATTCAGTACTGTCATTATATGCGGTTACCTGCACCTCCTTGTACAGTCATTATTGCACTGCCTTTTTTATCTCATGATGGATCTTATTGCATTTTTTTATCTATCTATCTGTCTATCTATCTATCTATCTATCTATCTATCTATCTACCTACCTACCTACCTACCTATTTCTGTCTCAAACTCTCCTACTTCTCAGTATCTGTGTGTGTGTGCAGAGTGAGCTCCTGGGCCTGGAGAAGCACTGCGGCCTCACAGTCCGTCAGATCCACCACTGGCTCCGCCTCCGCCACAACCAGGACAAACCCAGCAACACCAAGAAGTTCTGCGAAGCATCGTGAGTGCATTCAGTTTTCCACCACATGCACATTTAGTTCTGAGTCCTTAGAGCTGTCAGACAATTAAAATAATGAATGGCAATTAATTGCGTTATTTTGTGTAGTTAATCGTGATTAATCGCATTTCTTATTTGCTCAGATTTGACCCTAATTAAAGACTTTTTCCAACTAAAAACAGTGTACTTTGTTATAGCTATATAAGCGTTCAGAATACATTTATTACTCACATTATATACAGCGTGTGAATGCAGAGTTCACATGAACCTGAACATGAAAATCGTGTGATTTCCATCAAGTGATTTTCCAGTTTTCATCACCGACATCCAGTGAGAGCAACAGAGCTTGCATGTTCCTTCCACTTAATTATATATATCATATATATCATATACACAGTAAATGTTTCCAACTCCTGTAGCCTCTCTCTCACTAAACTGGAGTACTGTCCAGTATAGTCTGCTGAAGGTGCTGAAGGTTTCGCTTTAACCCTTTAAAAGCCATATTAAAGCTATATTTGAATGAGAGGTCTACAATCACGTCTATCATAGCAGCGTACAGCGCGCTGCAGCTGGGCTTAGCCTGCACGATTATGGCTGTTTCAAAGAGTCAAACTAGGAAAATGCATAACAGCTTTCAAAAATTATAAACATGAATCATGTACGTGTCACATTATTATCATGTTAACTTTGACATCTCTAGTATTTGATGCTGAAAAAAGTAAAAAAATAATATAACAAATAAATATGTGGGATAGGAAAATGTCCACAAAGGAATATATAGGGATAATATTGAGTTATTTTAAATATTTAACACTCTAATTTCTTAAAAAAAAAACATTTTTGCAGTAATAGATTAATGAATAGGCACATACAGTCTAGATTGGACAGTTTAGTTAAGATTAATGCAAAGACTTTCAAGTATGTTTTGTATGTCTGCATTCTGCCATTTTATGTGTACAAGAGCACTTTAAAAAATATTAGTACTGATATTACTTGGTATCAAATTGAAAAAGTTCCCATTCCTCACATCTTCATACCAAAAATGGTTCTATATTGTACCAAAAAAGTTTGTATGACTTGTAACAATAGTGGCACCTTTGGGTGCAACAGAGAAACATGTTTAAAAGGCTCTTCAAGAACTACATAAAACAAGAATCATTTAACTATGCAAAGAGCAGTTATGCATTCAACTGGTTCTTCGAGTTGTGCTTGTTGTATATCTTTGCTGTCCAAGGAGAACATGTATCTCTTTTTTTTTCTATTTTTACTTTTCATCATTTAAACATGGCAGCTGCCCTTTACGCTGTGTGGATATTTCATGATGAATGGACCAATAGAAATGCTCCAAAACTGCTTGGAATAGAATCTTTTTAAATTAACTTACATTGAAAGTAAAGGTAATTTTTGACACACACACACACACACACTTCACTTCATGGAAAACAAAACGTATTTTAACATATTTAGGTCATGCTGAGGTGATGTGATTGATGAATGAGAATGGAGTGATGGTGACCTATTTCACTCAGGGCCTCTCTCTCTCTCTCTCTCTCTCTCTCTCTCTCTCTGTCTTTCTCCCTCTCGTTCTCCAGGTGGAGGTTTGTGTTCTACCTCATCGCCTTCGTTGCGGGACTCGCCTCCCTGATTGATGTGAGTGTTCGAGACACCGTTCACCGCAGGGCTTTTAAAACATCACTTTAACTTTAATGAAGACTTCTGCCACTGCGCTCAGCTTTCATCTGGGAGAAGGAACCAAATATACCATTTGTTCATTCATTCATTCATTTTTTCGTTCTTTCATCTTTTTATTCTTTCTGTCTTTTATTTATAAATTTCCGAACAAATCTTCACTTAAAGTAATCAGTTCGGTAAAGACGAAGTTTTCCCTCTAACCCCAGATGTCGTCAGTCAGCCAAGACATGTTTGGTGTCTGAAGCTTCTTTAGTTTTGCACTAAAGTTACAAGATTAATGTAACCCTAGCTGCCAATTTAGGATCACACACCAGTAACATGGTCCTGGGGGTAACGTGGTACAAACTAACACACGAGACAGAGAGGCAGACAGACACTGCAGTGTCACAGCGGCAGGGACATACACAACTATGAACATCTCACCATTAAGTAGTCTTAAGTAGCCAACGTAAAAAGATATAATGGAGATATAAAGCAGCTCAACTTTATACAAATTGACAAGAACCAAAAAAGGAAAGGAATAATAATATAGGGCTCTTCAACTTTGAAAAGGTGTTCGCTAAAATAGCGTGGGGTAGTTGTCAGGCCAGCAATAGTTGCATATTTTTTATGCACAATACCACTGGCAGCATAATTACATTATACTTACAGTAACATTACTTTTAGCTGTAACAAAATAATGTAATTAATTACAGTTTACATTCTTGTACTCGTTGTACTTGTTACAGTTACTGACTAAAGTTACTGATAAGTATTTCATTATTTTGGTCACACACATCTCTAAGGGTGCTTTCACACCTGCCTTGTTTGGTCCAAACCTTTGGACTTCTCAGTTTGGTACAAACGAAAATAGCAGGTGTGAAATGTGCCTTAAACCAAAGGACCAAAAGAGGTGGTCTCAGTCCAGATGTTACTGAACCATGGTTTGGTTCGTTTGCAGTGTGAAAACACTTTTTAGGATGGTTCAGACTTTTGGGCCAATTACAGGAAGTTGAGGCAGATTTGTCATCCATTAAACAATAGAAGAAGGAAGAGAAGTGAAATGAGCCGCAGTTGAACACGGGTAGAGGAGGAGATGAAATATGTGTAATTTGGAAAAACGAAAAGGTCAAAAGTCAACTTGAAAAGACCCGTAAAAATGCCGAAACCTGTTCCTTATTTTCTGAGAGGATGAGAGAGAGGATATTCATTTTTCTCCATTTAAATGGGAAAGGCTACCTCCCACACTGACAACACACTGATGTCAGACGCTCCTTTACCAACCAGCCAGTGAGTGTGTTTACATGCACTTAATAATCCGATAACTACAGAAAATCAGATTTTGCCAGTAATCCAGTCAGCGTCTTGGGTAATCAGATAATGCAAAAACTCCAGGTCAACATGAATCAGACAGTAATCAGATTTCTGCTTTGCAACCAGCCAATAAACTCACAGAAGAAGACGTGACGTAAACATAATGTAAAACTCAAACTTCATGCTGCGGCTTTTTTAAAAAAAAAAACATTGACCCACTTTCCCTGAAAATATGAACATACATCATCTAGAAGATGAAGAATATTTAAATCCTTCATTTCGTCAAGCATGTATTTGGTTTCAATGTCGCTCCAAAGGTGTTTTGCTGTGTCTCACGGCGACGCTGCTCGCTTATTTCTGGTACCGCTGTCTGTTTTTGCACAGGCTCAGACCGAGAAATCCGAAAGAAATCAGAGTGAGAGTTCACATGCTCTGAGAAATCTGATTACTGAGCTAAATTCTGGCACTCTTAATCAGATTTCTTAATCAGATTTCTAGACCTTACTGTGATCTAAGAAATCAGAGTGTGCTGTTTACATGACCATTTGAATAATCAGATATTCAGATCATGATCGGAATATTTAATGCATGTAAACGCACTCATTGTTCAGTAGAGGGAGACGCGGCTCATGTAGGTGATGACGACAGGAGGCAGGTGTGTCATGCAGAGTTCTTTAGTGCGCTCACTAAATTGCATTGTGAAACCAAAACTAACTGGATCAAATGTATACAATGTAACAAAAACATGAACCTTCAGGTGTGAAAATGCCCTAAGAGGACAATATTAATTTCGCGCAGTGCATTTAAAATATATATTTCATCTCGATGTATTAGCTGTGCTTGTCCTTAAGTGTAATTTGCGTGCACTACTTGCATCACCTGACTGTGCGACTTCAGTTGTGAATATGGCCGGTGCAAAGAGAGCACAAGTGAAAACTTTCCTCCAACATAAACTCAACATGCGATCTAATGATCTGATTCTGCTAGTCTGAAAAACATTGTTTGATTTTTGACCAAAACATTGCTTTAAGAAAGAGATGGAGAAAGTTCTACTACACCCAAAAATAAGTGCTAACGGTTCTTATGATAAATCTGTGATCAAGCCAGTTTCATTATTCTCTCTTCTCTCATGCAGACGCCCTGGTTTTGGAATCACAGAGAGTGCTGGCGTGGACACCCGAGACAAGTGAGTGGCAAAGAGTGAAGAGAGGAGTAACTCATAACTGTCTGACAATGCCAGGAAACTCAGCGTCACTGCGCTGTTCTCTGTAATCTCTGCAAAGGAATTCAAGCAGACTAGAGCCCAATTTTTAACCACTTCACGAGAGAATCTATCAGATTTATTTTCTGCTTTCACTGCTGCCCATCAAAACTTTATCATCTCGCTTTTAAAATGTTTTTTATATATTTTTTTGCAATGGCTTCACATATTAAATAGAATTTGTATGAAGTCATCTGAAAACCCAAAACTAGAATTATAAACACAGAACTGTTTTTTGATTGAGATTGTGTTTAAACAGTGTAACAGTGACCCTGCGTACACTTTTTCACAGAGGGAGGATGTGATTTTTGAAGGGTCAAGCGGTTCACAAACATCCAGCTATTGTGTCGAGTGCTTTACTCTGTTTTGGTGTAATGTTGAAATTTCAGTCAGGATATGATGTCAGTATTCACTCGCTGTTTAGCCCACCCTCCACCAGCCCCAGAGCTTTCGCAGAACATTTGTGTGAGAGTGAGGGTAACTGTCCCACAGTGTCAACTATTGTCTGACACAGGGGTACCTCAGAGTATTTTCATGCGTTGGAACCTGCTGCCCTTCACATTGAATTGTTGTCATTGAAATCAGTGGCAAGATCTTTGACGGATACCAAAATGTCCTTGTGAATGCAGCCTCAGGAAAATATCATTTTTGTCTTATAGGCCTTTGCAGTGCTGATACTGCAGATAGCTGAGCATCGTGAACAATGGCAGATTGATGAGTTTCTAGGTGTGGAAAAAATGGAAAAAAGTTTTACATCAATGTGTTTCTGATATAATGCGAGGCGTATGTATCACAGAATGTAGCAGTTTAATTGCAGTATGGCAGTTTATCTGTATCATGCAGCTGCAGTACATATGTGCAAGCTCTGACATTCTTCTTTTTGTCCTCCGTTTCCTGATATTGCCTGAAGCTTTTAAAATAGACATTCCACATCCAGACTTGATCTTGTGTGCATGTGCAGGCTTAGACTCCTGTACCACATGAGCAATGGGAGTCAAACTGTTATTACTGTCTGAATGCAAAAACTACACACACTGCAGATTCATACTGGATTAAAATCGCTCCACAATTATTACTGTCAGACTGTAAAACTACACACACTGCAGATTCATACTGGATTAAAATCACTCCACAATTATTACTGTCAGACTAAAACTACACACACTGCAGATTCATACTGGATTAAAATCGCTCCACAATTATTACTGTCAGACTGTAAAACTACACACACTGCAGATTCATACTGGATTAAAATCACTCCACAATTATTACTGTCAGACTAAAACTACACACACTGCAGATTCATACTGGATTAAAATCACTCCACAATTATTACCGTCAGACTGTAAAACTACACACACTGCAGATTCATACTGGATTAAAATCACTCCACAATTATTACAGTCAGACTGTAAAACTACACACACTGCAGATTCATACTGGATTAAAATCACTCCACCATTATTACTGTAAAACTACACACACTGCAGATTCATACTGGATTAAAATCACTCCACAATTATTACCGTCAGACTGTAAAACTACACACACTGTAGATTCATACTGGATTAAAATCACTCCACGATTATTACAGTCAGACTGTAAAACTACACACACTGTAGATTCATACTGGATTAAAATCGCTCCACAATTATTACTGTCAGACTGTAAAACTACACACACTGCAGATTCATACTGGATTAAAATCACTCCACAATTATTACTGTCAGACTAAAACTACACACACTGTAGATTCATACTGGATTAAAATCACTCCACAATTATTACTGTCAGACTGTAAAACTACACACACTGCAGATTCATACTGGATTAAAATCACTCCACAATTATTACTGTCAGACTGTAAAACTACACACACTGCAGATTCACACTGGATTAAAATCACTCCACAATTATTACAGTCAGACTGTAAAACTACACACACTGCAGATTCACACTGGATTAAAATCACTCCACAATTATTACTGTCAGACTGTAAAACTACACACACTGCAGATTCATACTGGATTAAAATCACTCCACAATTATTACTGTCAGACTGTAAAACTACACACACTGCAGATTCATACTGGATTAAAATCGCTCCACAATTATTACCGTCAGACTGTAAAACTACACACACTGCAGATTCATACTGGATTAAATCCTGCGTTAAAATCACCAATCTGGGGCCAGTTTTCCATCTTAGTGTTAAGATCGTCTTAACTGATAGAGAGAGTGTATAGTGTGAGGCTCGCTTTACCAATAAAGAATAATCTTCACAATATTGCAAAGTTGCTTTCCCTCAATTAATTCAGCCCTGTTTGATAATCACTTAAATTACAGAACCTCCCCAGGTAAAAATAAGACAGCTCCAGTTGGGCTTCTGACTCTCACTCTTCCTCTCCCTGCTACTCACTGTTTGTTGTTCTGTTTTTGCAGCCCGTGACTGAGGCTCAGTACTGGTACTACCTCCTGGAGCTCAGTTTCTACTGGTCACTGGTGTTCTGCGTCTCTGTGGACGTCAAGCGCAAAGTGAGCCTTGTAACTTTTTCCATTCATATATTATACACTTGTCTACAGTTTCTAAGACAGTAGAAACAAAGACACCTTTTCTATTCATCTTCAGATGCACCACTAACAAACCTGCACTGAAAAAAGTGCTACATTACATTTACTTGATTCAAACGTGCATCATTTCCAATAAAATGCATTACATCAGTAGTATTATTGGCTAAAGCAAGTAAAATTTAGAAATGACTATGAAGACATTAGTGGACCATTGGGTGGAAGGAAAAGGGGGTGGAAATACTTGAAAAGGGTTCTATATAGTACCAAAAAAGGGTTCTTATATTGTTACAAGTTTGACATTGTAACAGTAGTAGAACCCTTTTTGGTGCTATATTGAACGCTTTTCAAAAAGGTTCTGTATAGAACCTTATACAACACATTCTTCATCAAACTGAAAGACCATTTCACCATACAAGGAACCATTTAATCATGCACATGGTTATAAATAATATGTATTAATATTAGTGACAGTGAAAGCCAAATGCAACATGCACTTCATCCCTTTGTTGTGATGTCAGCACTCATCAGCACTCATACCTTTCAGTTGTTTAAACCACCTTCGGACCAAAAGAGTTCCAATATGTGCGTCTGGAAAAGGAAACTGTCACATAATTCTTTGGAACCTCCTATTCATGCTAAGTACGATACAACCCCATTTAGAAAATAGTCAGGACACGGTGCAAAATGTAAATAAAACAGAGTGCAATCATGTGTAAATCATTTAAACCCTATGTTTAATTGAAATTAGTATAAAGACAACATATTAAATGTTGAAACTGAGAAATTGTATTGCTTTTTTTTTTTTGAGCCCATTTTGAATTTGATGCCAGAAACACGTTTCAAAAAATCTGGGATGGGGTCATGTTTACCACTGTGTCACATCACCTCTTCTTTTAGCAACACTCTGTAAGTGTTTGGGAACTGAGGAGACGCTGCTGTAGGTTTGAAAGTGAAATGTTTTCCTGGTTATCTGGCTTGATATAGGATTTCAGCTGCTCAACAGTTCGGGGTCTCCTTTGTCATATTTACTGTTTCATAATGCACCATATGTTTACATTGGTGACAGATCTGGACTGCAGGCAGAGCAGTTTAGCACCTGGACTCTTTTATTATGGAGCCATGCTGTTCTAATATGTGCAGAATGTCATTTTACATTGTCTTGCTGAAATAAACAAGGCCTTCCCTGAAAAAGACGTCATCTGGATGGCAGCATATCTTGCTCTAAAACCTGTGTATATCATCCAGCATTAATGGCGCCTTCACAGATGTGCACGTCACCCGTGCCATGTGCACTAATGCACCCCTATACCATCATTAATACTTGCTTTTGAACTGTGCGCTGATAACAAGCTGGACGGTCCCTCTTCTTACGGTGTTCATGATTTCCAGAAAGAATTTCAAATTTTGATTTGTTGGACCACAGGACACTTTTCCACTTCATCTCAGTCCATCTTAATTGAGCTCAGCCCAGAGAAAGCGTCAGCGTTTCTGGATCCTGTTTATTTATGGTTTCTTTTTTGCATGATAGAGTTTTAACTTGCATGTGGGGATGCAGAGACGAACTGTGTTCACAGACAGTGGTTTTCGGAAGTGTTTCTGAGCCCATGCAGTGATTTCCAACACAGAATCATTTCTGTTTTTAATGTAGCACTGCCTGAGGGCCCAAAGATCACGGCCAGCAAATACTGTTTTTCAGCCCAGTCATTTCTCCCAATTCTCTGAATCTTTTAATGATATTATGTACCGTAGATGATGAAATCCCTAAGTTCTTTGCTATTTTACGTTGAGTTGTTCTTGAATTGTTGCACTATTTATCCGTGCAGTCTTTCACAGAGTGGTGAACTCCCGCCCACCTCCTGCTTCTAAAAGACTCGGCCTCTCTGGGATGCTCTTTTTATCCGCAGTCGTGTTACTGACCTGCTGCCGATTAACCTAACTGTGAGATGTTCCACCAAGTGTTTTTTATCATTACACAAGTTTACCAGTCTTTTATTGCCTCTGTCCTAATTTTTTTTAAATGTGTTGCTGGCATGAAATTCAAAATGAGCTTCCATTTTTCAGATAACAATAAAACTTTCTCAGTTTCAACATTTGATATGTTGTCTTTGTACTATTTTCAAATAAGTATAGGGTTTAAATGATTTGCACATCATTGCATTCTGTTTTTGTTCACACTATGCACAGCATCCCAACCCTGGAAACAGGGTTGTATATTGATGAACATGAAGCTGAATGTTGAAGATAGATATATGCAGATTAGCACAGAGCTGAATTATTGTTAACAAATCCTTTTACTGGTATTTCTACATAATGAATTGAAAACTAACAGCAAAAAACCTCACATTTCATAAGTAGGAAAGGTGTACCCACATTTGATGTGTTAGGAGATATGCCTTCATGCTTACGTGCTGAGGACACAGAGGTGCTGGAGTTTCCAGCGCTGGTTAGCGAGGGATTTCTGATGGGAAGTTCAGATGAGCCTCAGGAGAGAGGAAACCTTTCAGCACTGCTGCCCTGGGGGCTCTAATTATCCACAGCACCACAGACACACACAGCATAGGTTCCTCCTTGAAATGGTTAGTGGAAGTTAAGTTGATCTATTGTAAGTGATGAAAGGATGAAATCTCCAATAAAAATCTGCCTCCAGGCTGCTTGTAAACATTTTTACAGCTCCGGGCTGCATGTTGGGACCAGCTCACGCTTTTGTCTAAAGTGACTTAGAGCCACTGATCTTTCAAATTTTCTGTGTAATTCAGTCCTTAAAATGTAAACAAAGTCATTCGGAGTGGGTTGGTGTGAAATGCTCTGTTATAGAGAAACTTACAGAGTGCTTTCTAATTTCTTTATTCATATTTTCACATGCAAAACATATTATATCAGCATAATTATGTCTTTTAGTTTTCTTACTATGAATAATTCATAGTAGATACTGAATAATTCATTGTAAACACTGTATAAATCATAGTAGATATTGAATAATTCATAATAGATACTGAGTAATTCATAGTACATACTGAATAATTCATAATAATTACTGAATAATTCATAGTAGATACTGAATAATTCATAGTAGATACTGAATAATTCATATCAAACACTGTATAAATCATAGTAGATGTTGAATAATTCATAATAGATACTGAGTAATTCAAAGTAGTTGCTGAATAATTCAGAGTAGTTACTGAATAATTCATAGTAGTTACTGAATAATTCATAGTAGTTACTGAATAATTCATAGTAGTTACTGAATAATTCATGATACTAACTAACTACTATGTATTAATTGGAGTATTATTAATAATTTGTAATACTAGCTACTAATATGCATTACTGAATAATTCTTAGTTATTATTGAATAATTTATAGTAGAAGCTGAATATTTCATGGTGGATGTTGAATCATTCATAGCAGTTTCTGAGAAATAAAGAATCCTACAGTTTTAGGCTTTTAACAAAGTGTACTGAACCGCGGCGTCTTGTTATTGTAGGATTTTAAGGAGCAGATCGTTCACCACATCGCCACCATCTTCCTGATCAGCTTCTCCTACTGCGGCAACTACATTCGGGTGGGGACGCTCGTGATGCTCGTGCATGACTCTTCCGACTTCCTGCTGGAGGTAAAATCCAGATTATGTTTCGTCACACACAGATAAAGAGCTGCTTCAGTTGATGGGCAGATCACTACCAGAACCTGCTTTACCACTCTCTCTGCCAGTGGCTTCAATCTGATTATTATATGAAACTTTGAAAACATGTGCAGGTGGAGGTTTCCCTTTCAGGCTGTTAGTGCAAAGTGCAGAAATAAAGCACTTTCTGCTTGTTTTTTAGGACTTATTATTGAAATATTGTTGCATTGCACACCTGTAATAACAGGTTTAAATGAATAGGTCCGTTATCTGGAGCACTTAAAATGACTCCAGTGGCTCCATTTGCTTGCAATAAGTGAATTATTCTATATAATTCACGCACTGAGGTTTAGGCACCTACGTAGAGAAAGAAAATTATGTTGACTTTATTGATTTTAACAGATGCATTCTTGAAATACGCTAAATCCAGTCTTCTGAAATGCTAGATAAGAGCTCCGGTTCAATCTTTTCTTTTGCTGATATAAAACTTCTTGTCCAGGCTGACATAATCTTCTTAGCTATACTACTGATGGATTTAATCATCTTAACGTTCACCCCCTCATGTAGTAGCTCCATCTTGTTATCTGTGACAGGCATCTTAAGGCCACACCCTTTAGCCTCGGTTACTATCGCTCTTTACCCTGGTTTCACCTTTACAGGTGAAAATGCTGAAGATTTTACTCTTTGATTAGCAGAATCTGCACTGGCTGGATCTACAGTCAGGGTGACTGGAGTTCGCTCCCTGGTGCCCTCTGTGCCAAAGGCGCTTCATAAAGAGTGCTGTACAAAAAGTCTTAGGCACCCAGGAAAATTAGATATGAAAGCTATTAAACTGGGCATTTAAATAGCACTAATATTATGACAAATACACATAACATTATTACAGTCAGCAGAGATTTTATGCATGTCAGTGACTCGGAGTATCAAGGACAAGTCCAACTAAACCTTTATTCTTCTAACCAGCTCAGAAATATATACTACGTTGCATTAATGATTATTTGCATTTATTCCGAAGTTAAAGCAAAAACACTCTTATTTCCTAAATAAATGGTTTGACACAGTTTGCCTAAGTGGCTTCTGCTCAGTACTGTGCATGAGAAAAATTCATGCATATTCATGAAGCGTTCTGCATTTTACTGGCTCTCATAGGAGTGGTCCTACTCGTTTTTTAATGAGGCCCAAACATGCCACAACTGTCTAAGCGTTGGCCCTGTTGTCGGGGGATCGCAGGTTTGATCCCCAGTGATGTCGCTGCCATCCTTGTCTGGGAGTCCAAGAGTTCACCCTGTCTGGAAGGGTAGGAAGGTCCTCCCTCTCCCCATTACTCAGCACAATGCTAGCCAATCAGATTGTCTGCTCTCCTCCAAGCATGTTGAGCCCCAGTGACATTTCCATAGCGGCAGTTTGAAATGGACAGTGGGGTCCAAAAGTTTGAGACCTCACGGAAAAGTGTGGCCTGTTTCTAGATCACTCTTCTAACTGAAGCATTCTTGTGTCATTGACCTCACATAATTTGGATAGTCCCCTATAGATTATCTACATATGTTCAAACTGTTAAACTATCTGTTGAAGCTCAGTTGATTCTAAGCAGTGGTGGGGTTAGGGTTAGGATTTGGACCAGGGTGAGGGGTGAGTTCAGGTTTTGCATTGAGGTTAAGTTTGGGGTTAGGATTAGAGCAGGTTTAGAGTTAAAGAAAATGATGGATCAGTTTAGTAGATATTTAGTTGAATGTAAGATGAAAGAAAAATATGTATCTACAAAGCATCTAAAGTGGATTGTCCAAATAAAGTGTTACCAAATTTTTTTTTTTAGTCTTATCTCTTCCACTGGAGCTCATATTTAGACAGCTATCAGATAAATTTGATCTGCTCATCGGAGGCTTTTGCACAAACTAGTAGACCATTAGTGCTTGTTTTCATTAAAGCATACTAAATACTAAAATTTTCCCTGGTGGTCTCAGACTTTTGGACTCCACTGTGTATCTTCATGATGTGTGTCGCTGGGAGTGTGCTTTACACACACAAGAAATATTAACGCTGTTGTATGTATGATTAATACCACCTTTATTAGAGAAAATGTTTTCCATTATACGTCATGTTATTTTTTTCAAAAACTCATGTTGGAATGAAAGTCTTCATGTTGAAACTGCATTTTTAAGAGAATAAAGTATGTTTTCTATGATGTTTTTGTGTTAAAGCCAATAAAAATTGCTTCACTCTCCCATCATTCATGTACAAGCAATGTAATCCTATCAGCTGATCCCAAGCCCGGTCTTAGCGAATGTCTGCCATTACTCTGGTCAAGCTTTCAGCAGCGTGCCACTGGACGTCAGCATTCCACCCATTCGAAAATCCAATGAGTAATGCATTAAGCTGCTTTGTTGTTGTCATCACTGGTCTGTGAATTGGGAACTTACAAAGCTCTTTAATGCCGTACTAGTTGCAGTGGACGTTCATAACGTGCATTCATGACTGGGAGTCTCCAGTGGGAGTTGGGGATTAGGAGTAGTAAAGGGGAACTCCACCAATTTTCCAAAAAATCAGCATAATTAAATGGTTAAGATGTAAACAGAGTCATTCAGAGTAGTTTGGTGCAAAATGCTTAATTGTAGAAAAAACCTTATAATTCAGAATTGTTCACAGTGATGGTGATAGGAACCAGACGTCTGAAGAGGTTAATGCTTCTGACAGCTACATCACAGAAAGTAATTACATAAAATGCGTCTGAATACTCAGCCTGATGTCTGAGACATTGTTTTGTGATAATGTTTTGGCCTAAAACCTTATTTTATTAGAATAAAATTTTATTTTAAACAATTTATTTTAATCTGTTTATGGTGGAGGGATTCATGAAGGGTATTCTAAGGCAAAGTGGTCCCCAAACAAAACTCTTTTTTTTTCAGATTTACCACTGTTTTACCATCATCAGCATTACATATAAAAACCTCAGAAGACTTGTGTACGTTGGTGGTTTTGGATAGTAAATACAATGGCTATATTTGCGTTGTAGTCATGGCGACCCCTGGTTCCTATCACCACTACTGTAAAGACATCAGAGTCAGTAAGTTTCTCTACAAATGAACCATTTTGCACCAAACTACTGCACGTCTTCCAAGGCACTGGGGGTCCTTGGAAGAAAATAATTGATAGAATGAAGATGATTCAAATGTTATAATTCACAATTATTGGCAAAAGTAATTAAACGAGACAGAATTGTGTTGATATATATTTTATTCTTGTTGAAATTATGTACATATTTGAATTAATAAAATTCAGTGCATCTCTTTTTTTCAGTGCATAATTTATTAATTATTTATGATGTCACTTTGGTTTTCTCCTGCACTGATGCCATCCCCAGTCTGACCTGCCAGAGTTTCAGAGTCTCTTTTCTGTTCTGACCCACAGTCCGCCAAGATGTTTAACTACGCTGGCTGGAGGAAAACCTGTGACGGCTTGTTTGTTCTCTTCGCTGTGGTTTTCCTCGTAACTCGCCTCGTCATCTTTCCGTGCAGGTAAGCTGTCAACTATGGCATAAATCTGTGAAGTTTTTTTAGTCTTTGCCAAATAGCACACCTGCCTTTCCATACACGTAGGCATGAGTAAGCCAATATCATCTGTAGGCCTAGCCAATCATATGTGGACCATAAAAAGTAGTCCTACTCGTTTTTTAATGAGGCCCAAACATGGCACAACTGTTTAAGCGTTGGCCCTGTTGTCGGGGGATCGCAGGTTTGATCCCCAGTGATGTCGCTGCCATCCTTGTCTGGGAGTCCAAGAGTTCACCCTGTCTGGGAGGGTAGGAAGGTCCTCCCTCTCCCCATTACTCAGCACAATGCTAGCCAATCAGATTGTCTGCTCTCCTCCAAGCATGTTGAGCCCCAGTGACATTTCCGTAGCGGCAGTTTGAAATGCTGCAGTGGCATCTTGGAGGAAGCCTTCACCCTCCCAGCTTGGTAGTACCACGCGATGGGGGAGAGGAGGCCTCCCCCCATCGTTCAATACTACCAAGCTGGTTAGAATTATTAAGCTAGTTAGAATTGAATTGACTAAAATTGAGGAGAAAATGGGGTGAAAATCCAAAAAAAGGCCAAAGTCCTCACCTAAATACACTCTTTTGCTTCTTTATGATGGGTTGAATTAATTCTATACCAGCTTGCGTGCTGTCTGCAAGGAGTGACAGTTGTTTGGTGATTAGGTCTCTGATTCGATCTGATTAAGATTCTTTAGAAAGTGATCAGTACATCACCACAATTTGATTTGATTATTTTGCAGTCGTTCAAAATTGTATTTAAAAATACACTGTTGTTAATGAATGTTAAATCAAGATTTATAGAATGGTTTGCATCCTAATTAAGCATATCATATTTATTTATTTATTTACTCTTTTATACATGTATGAGTAGGCATTGTAAATATTGATGCAATTCAGATTTGCTTTCTGTAATACTGCAAAATAAGTGTGAAATAAATCTAATTTAATCTACACTGAATATACAGATGTGACTGGAGAACTTATATGCGCAGCAGTTACACTATAATAATTAAAAACAATACACCAATATTGTGTTTTGGCTAGAAATTGCTATAGTGATATGAATACTATTATAATTCATTATAATTGTTACATTGCAAAATCGATGCGATCGCAGCCTTCAGATTGGTGTTGATGCCCCACCTATTAAATATGCTTTGTGATCTACATTCTGTAACAGTTCTTTCTTGCTCAATTCTTCTTACTCTCTGCATAGATCTGAAATTTATAATAACAGTCTTTATTTATATTAGACTTTTCATTTTACTTACTCAAAGACGTTCATACAGGAATACAAGTAAAACATTGCACAGGTACAAGTCCCCAGTTCTGATATTGCATCTGAAAAAAATGCATAATTTAACCCTTAGTACTTCAGTCACTAGGCTCTTTGTTCATTTGGCTTGACTAATCTTTTCTTGCCCTCTCTTTTCTTCATCATTCTTCTCCAGAGTGGTCTACTCGACTATCGTGGAGTCGTTGGATTTCTTTGACCCGTTCCCTGGTTATTATTTCTTCAATGCTCTGCTGCTGGTGCTGCAGGCGCTGCACGTTTTCTGGGCCTACCTCATCCTCCGCATGGTCTACAAATTTGTCTTCTTGGGCAAAGTGAGAAGTTTACTGAATTTACCAGACATGTTATCTCTTATTTGAGTTCTTGCACTGAAAAAGGTGCTGCGTTGAATTTACTTGATTCAGATGTGTGCATCATTCCCACATGATTAAAACATATTACACACAGAACAACCGAGTTACTGCCAAAACGAAGTACTTTGAAAGACAATTTTGGGTTGAAATTATATATTTTGCTCATGTGGAAATGATGCACAGTTGAAAAATTTAAACGCCCCTGTCAAATAACATGTTGTTGTTATTTTAATTGTAATTAAGTTGACACATCCTTAAATATGGCAATTTTTAATAATATCAGATTTCAGTACACAATTTTGATATGTGCACAATGTGTTAAACACAGCAAATAACCAGCAATTGTGCATTAAAACTACTTAAGTGTGTTCTCTGTAGAGAGCGTGTTAATTCACCTAGAAAATCAACAGTAACACACACTGATCAGGCATAACATTATGACCACTTGATTATTATGACTTGTTTCTACACTCATTGTCCATTTTATCAGCTCCACCTACTATATAGGTGCACTTTGTAGTTCTACAGTTACAGACTGTAGTCCATCTGTTTCTCTGATACTTTGTTAGCCCCCTTTTACCCTGTTCTTCAGTGGTCAGGACCCCCATGGATCCTCACAGAGCAGGTACTATTAGGGTGGTGGATCATTCTCAGCACTGCATTAACACTGACGTGGTGGGGCTTGTTATTTTGTGTTGCGCTGGTCTGAGTGGATCAGACACAGCAGTGCTGCTGGAGTTTTTAAACACCTCAGTGTCACTGCTGGACTGAGAATAGTCCACCAACCAAAAATATCCAGCCAACAGAGTCCTGTGGGCAGCGTCCTGTGACCACTGACGAAGGACTAGAGGATGACCAACACAAACTGTGCAGCAGCAGATGAGCTATCGTCTCTGACTTTACATCAACAAGGTGGACTGACGAGGTAGGAGTGTCTAATAGAGTGGACAGTGAGTGGACACAGTGTTTAAAAACTCCAGCAGCACTGCTGTGTCTGATCCACTCAGACCAGCACAACACACACTAACACACCACCCTCAGTGTTACTGCAGTGCTGAGAATGATCCACCAGCCAAATAGTACCTGCTCTGTGAGGGTCCTGACCACTGAAGAACAGGGTAAAAGGGGGCTAACAAAGTACGTAGAGAAACAGATGGACTACAGTCTGTAACTGCAGAACTACAAAGTGCACCTATATAGTAAGTGGAGCTGATAAAATGGACAACGAGCGTAGAAACAAGGAGGTGGTCATAATGTTATGCCTGATCGGTGTATACATAATTTGTCCAGGGGTGCCAAAACTTTCACATGCGTCTGTACATTTGTATTGTCTACCATCTGTATGCTAGCAGTCACGTAATGACCCCCTGCTTGCTCGGATGACATATGGTAAATGGCCGGGGGTGCCAAAACTTTTGCACACGACTACACATTTGGATCCAGTCTGTCGCTTTTTTCAGTGTATTGTTTCAGAAGAGTGAGCGACGTTTTTGTATCGTGTTGCTCAGGTGGAACGTGATGAGCGGAGTGATGACGAGAGTGAGGGAGAGGAGGAGGAAGAGGGGGATGGTGCGGAGGAGGAGAGCTGCTGGGAGCAGAGGAAAGGTCCCCTCAACTCCAGACCCGTCTCACTGGCCAACAACTGCGTCCTCAACAACCTGACCCACCAGAGGAGGAATATAAACAGCAGAATGCCCAAAGCCAGATAGTGTCCCTCACTCACTGTGATTATTTTTAGTCTGTCTTCGTCCGTATGAAGATGAAATATATTGGAATATGTTGCAAAAAACACAAAATTAAATATAGTGCAATGTATTTTCAATATATTACATTTTTCTACAGGGCAGTAATCGTTATAGCAGAAGTCGTCGTTCATCCTCTGAGGCTACTCATACTGTTCTTCTTTGAAAAAGCACATTAGACTTTTTTAATTGACATCTTTCAAACCTGTGGACTAAAAAATAGATGTCAGGTTTGGTGTATTGTATTTCTTTTTAAGTATTTGTCTTTAAAGGTACGTGACAGCAACTCTTTATTACTCTTATAGCAGTTCTAACCAGGTTAAAGGGGAATTCCACCCATTTTTTCAAAATGCAAAATTTAATGGAGGAGATGTAAACAGTCCGTCAGAGCAGTTTGATGTGAAGTGGTTCATCATAGAGAAACTTGCCGATATATTTAAAAAGTGTCGGTGATAAGAAACCAAGGAACCAATCAATTTTAATATGTATTTCTGGTAAAATAGTGATAAACCTTAAGAAAAGGTTTTCTCTGGGGACTATTTTGCCTTATAACAACCTCCTTGTACCTCTCTGCCATGAATGAGTTTTAAAAAAGTGTTTTAGGCCAAAATCACATTTCAAAGCTTTTGTAAAATGTAATAATAATCACTCTGAATGACTTACTTTACATCCTATCCTTTGAATTATGCAGAAATATTGGTGGAATCCCCCTTAACTTCACTATTAATGACGTCTTCGTAAACTGTAGAGTGGTTGGCAATCAAGGAAAGAAAAAACTGTCAACACTAAGACACCATATAGGTAAAGCTCTATACGTAAGGTGTCTCATTTACTGTGAAAGAAGTCAAATGTATTTTAATAGTAAATTAGTTACGGAAAGGGAACAATATATTCTAATATATTTAATTTCTTAATATATTTCAGTTACTGTTTAATGAAGGCAGATGATAATCAGGCAAACTGTCTTCTTTTTTCTCACACTGGGACTCATATTTCATTCCTTTCACTGCTGAATTTTTCCTACGGTAATTCTGATACGGCCTCATGCGTCTGTTACTGAGTATCCACCTGTCTTTGCGGTTTATATGGCAGTCATTCTGTCTCCACGGCTTTAAAAGAGGGCGACTGACTACTTGGGAAGACTCACAGCGCCCTCTAGTGATGGACTAAGGCACTCCCCTGCTGGTCTTGGCAGCGTTCTCACTCTTGAGAAAATGGTTGCCATGAATTATGGATAGCTCATGAGCCACGAAGCTTTGTACTGTGCAGACGTGTTTAGAACATTCTGCAGCGCCTGCGCCGTGCAGCTCGGATCGCCTTACTGAATCAGACACTGGTTGATTACCAAAGGATTTCTTCATGAGCACATAATCTGTTTCTCATGTGAGCAGTTTGCCTGCTCTCAATCTTAACGCCCTAATCGGAATCTTTTTTTGGCCATCTTAATTCCCAAGGAACTGACCAGGTCACTGTTTTCAATCTCAAGGGTCTTGCCTTGTGAAATAAAGAATATACTGAATAAAAATAATAAAAGGTGACTGATAGATCAGCCAGTTTAAACTGGACTGAACATAATTACCATTTTGCAAAAAATGACCTTTTTAACAAGCACAAACAAGTGGCAGAAGAGTTCAACTAGTAGGAGATTAGTTTTGCGCACCTTGGTTAATCCCTGACCCCGTCCAGCTGCAGGAGGAATTTCTCCAGAGTGACTTCAGTGGGCGGAGTGAGGCGTGAATGAAAACTGTGTAATGAGTCTATGTACCCATAGACTCTAATGAGTGCTCCCACAGTGACCTTTCAAGGGATATTTTGGTCAAAATCCACCACCTTCAGTGCCCTGCTTCTTCCATTCAGCCATGAAGTTTAGCACTTAAGCCTTAACAATCCCTTTAAAGGGGAATTCCTCCAATTTTTAAAATTTCTGTATAATTCAATCATTGGGATGTAGACCCTGCTGAAAAAAAGAAACCATTAACTGTTTATGTTGGTTATTTTATTATTATAGTTTATTATTTTAATGGGTTGATGTCACAGTGTTAATCAGCCATGTCAAACTGGGGACGTTCCGGGCCAAAGTGCGGCGAAGATCAGCGTTTACCCTCCTCTACCACTCTGAATTCAGTTCACGAAGGCTTTGCTAATTAGCTGATGAGCTGAACCAGGTTTCATGAAGTCTGCAGTGTCTTGGCCAACAAGGACTGGAGCCTGAAACATGTGGTGTAAATGATCCTAATGGTTTAACAGGCTGATTCTGGATGCATCTGATGGTTTCTTAATGGGATTCAAAGGTGTCCTACAGGAAACTAGTGGTCTCCATTGGAGACATTAAGCCATTTCCCATTAGAAAGTAAAACCATTGGGTTTTATTTCTACTGGTTTCCAGTGGTCATTTGTCAGCAGGGAACAAAGTCATTCAGAGTGTTTTGGTGTGAAATCGTTCACTGTAGAGAAACTTACAGACACAGATTTCTTTACAGTGGTGGTGATAGGAACCGGAACACAATGCAACATATGATCACTGTTGCAACAAAATCTTTTATCTCCAAAATGGTAACTTTACACATGAAGGACCAACATTCTTGACGTTGAATGGAAGTTAATAGAACAAGTATATATATATATATATATGTGTATATATATATATATATATATATTAAAAACACTAAATAAAAAACTACAAAAAATCAAAATAGAATGTTCTGTTCAAAAAGTGACATTATTATTATTATTATTATTATTATTATTATTACATATATTCTCACTGTTCAAAGAAAAATAGTCCACAATAGTAACTTTACATTAGAGGGCAAAAACATTCTTTACTTTTCATGTAAGTCAATGCAAAGCAATTGCTTTTTATTCCTAGTAATTTTGGAGCATTTCTATCCATTAAAGATGAAATTTTCACAGTTTAAAGAACAGCTGCTGTCATCAAACGATGTAGAAACATAAAAATAAAAAAAAAATGAAGATGCATGTTTTTCTGTGGACAGCTACGAAATGTATGTGTCTACAATGCTAATATATACACTTTATTTACTATCCCATCATCAACTATTCCATGTAAAATAGTAGTAATCTGAAAAAAAATGTTTTCTTTGGGGAGTGTTTTGCCTCACAACGCCCTGCAGGTCATGAATGGATTTGGAAAAATACATTTTAGGCCAAAATCTTCTCTCAAAAATATCGCAAAACACTTTCTGTGAGGGAGCTTTTAGAGGTGGATGTCTGGTTCCTATCACCACCACTATGAACAATTCTGACTCAGTTAGTTTCGATAGAACGGAGCGTTTCACACCAAACCACTCTGAATGACTTTGTTTACATTTGAACCATTTAATTATGCAGAAATTTTAAAAAGTCAGTGAAATTCCCCTTTACTACTATTGCATAGGTCTAATATCACCATAGTCTGAGCCATATTTCTGAAAAGTATTGTCTACCATCTATAGTGACCGCCTGATGTCCGATTAGCTAACAGTGCTTGGGTTACATATGGTGAATGGCGCACTGGAAAAGTGCATTGAATTAACTTGACTCCAATGTCTACATCATTTAGACATGAACAAAATATATCAACAGCTTTGTCTTTCAGTTTACTTACTTTTGTCAATAACTGTGTTGATGTATAAATAGCTTTAAATCATGATGAATCAAGTAAAGGCACTCGCTTGGCTTGCTTGACATCGTTTTGCACTGAGCCCTCAGTCTGTGAGCCACACATCCATACCACTGTCTTACACTGCAGGGTCATGTATGTATGAAACTTCTTAGAGAACAGTGCTGGTCAAAGGTCAGCTGGACAGGGCTGATCCTGGATGGTCATTCTCTGAGATGCTTGATGTACATGTACTCAGTTTCTTCATGGACTTGTATTTGCTTCTGTATAAAGGAATCGTATTTTCATTTGTGGGGTTTTACTCAGTTGAAGCTCATTGTTGATGCATTTATTATGTTCCTAACTAGTAATGATACCAGACAAGGTGTTCACTGATAAGTATATTGGAGATAATTCATAACTACAAGTGGTGATTTTTCATGTCACACAAACTCCAGGCTTATTCTGTCTGTTCACTCACAACATAAATAAATACAAAAGTGATAAAACATCCATTCTAGTGTTTGTTTTCTTTAAAAGAGCCTATGCAAATTACTTAATCTAAAAAGTTGGTATTTATACGGCGTATCTACACTACTAAAGTTTGGAATTGCTTGTTATATTAATAATTGCAGTGTAGACTGAAATACTTTAAGGTAGAAGACATTTTAAAGGGGAATACCTAACTCTGAAATGTGAATAAGGCCATTCAGAGTCGTTTGATGTGAAATGACTTGTAGAGAATCTTAGGCTGCGTTCACATTACCAGGCTGAAGTGGCACAAATCAGATTTTTTGCCCTAATGTGACTCAGATCTGATGTTTTCAGAGCCGTGTGGACACAAATCTGATTTTTTCATATCCGACCTGAGCCACTTTCATATGTGGTTCTAGATCGGATACGTATCCGATTCGTGGCCATGTAACCTTAATGTGATGCTCAGATCGGAATTCATGTGCTTTTTTTCCACTGCGCTGCGCCATCATTCAGCGTTACCATGGCAGCAGCGCCGAACAGAAACTAAAGCCTGTAAACGGTGGAAAAGCAGCTCATCTCACCTTTTTCTTCTTCGTCTCGCTCTAATAATGAAGCTGAGAGCTGATCAGAGTTAATTATCTTCTCAGCGAAGCTCGTTCTGCTCGTTAGTTTGTGCTGATGATGAACGTGATTCATTCACGTGACGTTACTGAGTAGGATGAGCTCATGTGGGTCATTTCAGGACGCAGGTTCGTTCACATTAATGACAGATTTGAGTCACTTACCTAAACGAGTGTGAACCATCCTGTCAGAGAGATCGGATTTGAGCAAAAAATCGGATTTGAGCAACGAGGCTTGTAATGTGAACGTAGCATTACAGATTTAAATTTCTTTACAGTGGTGGTGATGGGAACCAGGGGTCGCCATGACTACAACACAAATATAGACATTTTATTTACTATCCAAAACCACCAGTGAACCTACACGAGTCTTCTGCGTTTATATGGAATGTTGATGATGGTGAAATAGTAATAAATATTAAAAAAATAATAATTTTCTTTGCCTCATAATGCGCTGCATGTAGCCCTTCACTATGTATGGGTTTAAAAAACACATTTTAGGCCAAAGTCCTCTCAAAACTATCATAATGTTTTAGGCATCAGGCAGCATATTCATAACCGTTTCATTTTTTTTATAGGAATTAAACTCTTCAGTCGTCTGATTCCACTGTGAACAACTCTGACTTGGTTTCTCTAGAGCAGAGCTTTTCACACCAAACCACTCTGAATGACTTTACATATGAATGACTGAATTATGAAAAAAATTCAGAAAAATCGATGGAATTCCCTTTTAAGATGTTGGGAACGCCACATGATAAATAACATACAGTAATTATCTTTTTAGAGTAATGCTTCAAGATTTGATGATCACTTTACAAATACAAGGCATTCTGGCTGTAACCTTATTCTCACTGTTCTACAGCTTTCTCAGTTATTATGGAATCATCTACAGCTCAGCTCATCATTCTGAACACACGTAACATTTTTTCTTCATTTTTTACAGCTTCCTACAAATGAGTGAGTTGTAGAGTAATAGCGTCATGAACATTTTATGCAAGCACAGTCACAACATATTGGGGGAAAATAAAATTTAAACTGTGCCATAACTTTTGTACGGAGCCTCTAAGGGGCCGTAGTTAAAAACAAAAAGTTGCGTTCCCTCACAAATGTTTTGCATTTCCTCGCAAAATATATGCTCGTCAGACAGCAAGCAAACGTAGGACCAGAGGTGCCAAACGATATTGCCTACATTAGAGCTTTGTTTTTAGCATAGCTAATGTTAAAAGCTGTTTTCCCAGTTTGGCCAGTCTGTGCTGAGTTTATTCAGCAGTTGTTCTCTGCAGGTCTCTGTAAATGTAGCCTTTACTGTGGACACTCGACCTCAGTCTCAGTTTGAGTCACTAACAGCAGAATCATGTTTGATTTTGAGAAGCGACACTATGTCGTTATATTTCAATCCAAGATCAATGTAAAATTCAATGAGCTGCTCCATCTCTGAGCTTAAGCAAAGCACAGCTTTTGCAAGCGAATGCAAACTGTTTGCATCGTAATGCAAAACATTTGTGAGGGAACGCATATTTTTTTCAAGGGAACACAAACTATTTACGAGGAAACGCAAAACATTCGTGAGAGAACGCAATGTCATTAACTTTTTTTTTAACCACGGTCCCTTAGGGGCTCTGTACTGTTGCACAGTGGCCACATTTAATGTTTTATTTTTTTCCCCCAATATGTTCAATTGCAAATAAACAGTAATTGTGCATTAAAGTGTGCAGAAGTGTGTTCTCTGTAAAAGATGTCTTCACTTCACTATAACACCAAGAAAATCAACAAAATGCGTAACTTGACCAGGGGCGTGTAAACTTTTGCATCCGAATGTACATGTAGCATTGAAATACTATGCGTAGTACTGAAAACACTGATTCTAGTGTAACATAGTGTACATTGTACAAACAGAATGCATGTCTATACTGATAGAAAAACACAGAAAAGAAAGGAAGGAGCAAAAGGCCATTATTAATTCAGTTTGCACTCCAAAAATGGTGTCTTGTCAAGTACAACTATCTTAAATATAGTCAATAAATCTAATATTTCTCATGTGTTGCAAGCTTAAATTAGGATTATTTAACTTATTTCTATTTCGATAAATAATTACTTAATAAAATTACCTAAAACAAGTATAAATCATCCTCTACAGAGAACACACTTCTGCACTTTTTAATGCACAATTACTGTTTATTTTCTGAATTTAAAATATCGGTTAAACTCAGCAAATAAATAGAAAGTGTGTACTAAAATTTGCAGAAAAATACCATATTAAGCTTGACCTCTGTAGAGGACGTGTAACTTATTTTCACTTAGAAAATCGACAAAAATATATATAATTCGACCAGGGGTGTGCAAACTTTTAGTAAATGATCTAGTCCAATATCTTCCTTGCTTGAAGTTCAACTGCCTGTCATACGTACTGCGACACAACCCCTTATGGGTACAGGGCATGGAATTGCATCATCTATTTCTAAACACGTGTCAGTGTAGGGGTCCAAGAGAATCATGTTTGTCAAGACTTTGTTAATCTTCCTCTCACTTATCAGGTAGATTTGGCCATTCACAGTAGCACAGCCAGTGAAGAACTTTCTGTCCAGACAGTCCTCTTCCAGCAGAGTCCACTCATCAGTATCGATGTCCAGGCGCAGAGCTTTACCTCCCAGCAGATAGAGGGCACCGTTGAGCTCAGTGGCGAGAAGGTCATAACTGAGGGTGGATGATAAAAAGAAACAGGAGACAAGCATCATAACCATCATAATACAAGAGTCGTAACTATGTAGACACCTAACTGGTTGGTATTTAAGGTATGAGGACCACTTTTAGAAATGAAGGTGCAAAGAGTTCTTCGGAGCGATTCCATAGAACAACGGTTCCCACTCCCGGTCAGAACATGAGTACTCCAGGATCAGGGTCGAGAACCTGACTAACTAGAGGTTTCAACGGATTGTTCTGTTTTAAATGAGATGCGCAGGTGTAAAGAACCTAAAGTTTAAAGAACCTTCACAGAATGTGAAGGTTTTCTAGCCCCTTAAAAAAGGGGTTCTTGAAGGGTTCTTTAGTAAGGACACAGACAATGGTTATAATCAGAATTGTGAACACTCAAAGAACCATTTGAATGCATAAATGGTTCTTTGCAAGATTAAATGCTTCTTCTCTATGAAGGAAAACCTGCTGTATATGGTTATTTGAAGAACCTGTTTTTTTCTTTGGTTCTATATACTGCCAAAATGTGTAACACTATCATTACAAGTCAGAGAACCTTCTTTGGTACTATGTACAACTATATACTTTTGGTAGTTTTTACCAATACCAATTAAAGATTTTGACTAGAACCGTATCTCCAAGCCAAGAACCATTTAGGAACCTTTTCTTATGGATTTTTTAAGACTGAGTAAGGAGAAATTTTGAAATCTCAGGCACTAACCACATCTCAAACTTTAAATATATACTCCACAAGCTTTCAGAATGACCAGTAACACATTAATACCTCTATACTTCTGTTGAGAAGTACTGGTGGCATATTTTGTTCTGTTTTCTTACCGTGGAAAAGGCGAGTAAGTGACAACATCCCATTGATCGACCTCTGCCTTGTACCTCTGAATGCCACTGTACACTTCTCCATTCTCATCCAGACCACAAGCCACATAGATGTAGGAGCCCATGGCGACCGCTGCTGCCCTCTCCACTGCCCGTACCAGGGGGCTAACGCTGTCCCAGTCATCTGCTCCCAACACCAACCTCTCCACATCAGCCACAGGTCTTTCGTCCGTGCTGCCTCCCAGCACGAAGAGTTGGAAGTCCAGCCCTATCGAGCAATGGCTGTGTCTGGACTTCTGCAGAGCTGGGCCGTCCACCCATCGCTCGTTGCCACACTGGTAAATCCGTACCCAGTCCACACTGTACCAGAGAACCTCCCGGAAGTAGCCGCCAGTCACCACCACACTGTCCCCTTGGAGAAGATGATGACGTTGGTCAGTTTGAAGTGGTGCATACTAAGAAGTCCAGCCCTGTTCCAGAAGTACTTTCCTGATCCAGTGTAACCTAATGTAACCCAATCTAATGTACAATCTAATGTTAGTACTTGATTGATTCTGTGGTCCTGGACCAAGCTTGGGCACCACTGGACCAATATAGCTACTGCATAGATAAAACCATAGACAGATCTACAGATTGTTGGTTAGATTCATGCCAGGATTATAATACTAGATACTCTGTAAGAAGCTTGTTACCTACTGCTGCCACAGAATACTGCGTGAGGCACTTCCTCTGCAAGGGTGGGCATGACTGCCACCTGCCACTCCGTGGGTTGAACTGATAGAGGGACTGCTGGTCATGTTCATGTGATCCACCAAGCAAGAAAAGCATCTCTCTTGAGCGAGTCCTGGGAACAGACCTGCCCGCAGTCCAGCTCGCGGGCAGATGATCGTTGAGCTTGCAGATGAGTTTGGCACGAGGGTCCGAACTTTTGATACTGGTTAAGAGATCTGTGATGTACGGCAGACTCAAACTTTCAGGTCTAACCAGCCCCATCAACTCCAGGAAGTCATCCTCCCGGCTAGGATCATAGGTAGCCCAGCGCAAAGTAACCTCAAAGGCTAGGTCTTCCTGTGGAACGAAAAGGTCATCGCTTGCAAGAAGGTCTGCAATGGTCTCCTTAGAGAGGTGCAGGAAGTCCTCCTCAGAAGCTACAGCTGATAGGTGGGTGAGGACCACTTCCCTTGAAGCAGCATAAAGCTCCAGACAGCCCAGTTGCCAGGCATAGGCCATCATGCCCAAACAGTTGCTGAGGTGCAGCTCCCTCTCTAGAAACTTGCAGCAGAGCAACCTGGCCTTCTCCAGTTGAAGGAAGTTGGCTGTCTCCAGAATTCCCAAGACATTCTTCCTGTCGAGATGCAATTTGAAGCTTTGAGTGTACTGCATGAGGCTGCGGAAATGGTCCAGACTTACACCTTTGATTTCAATGTGCTTCCTGCTGCTCTCTCGACCTCCACCGAAAAAAAGTGCTCGGAAATAGGGACTCATTTGAGCAAGTCTTTCACGGTTTATGAAGAAGGACTCGTTCTCCACCTGGAGGACGGCGTCGGGCACTGCAGTGTCCCTGTCCTCTCGGGTCTCCTTGTGGATCTCCTCACAGATCTTCTCACGGATCTCTTCCTCAACATCTTGGGCTTTACTGAATAAACCATTCTCACTCCCTGGACTTGGGCAGTTGCTCTCTACCCGCTGTTGTCCACAAGCCATTTCTCTGCACCCACCCTCCACTGACCTCAGTGCTTGAGCTACCACAGCTTTCTGTGGTATTTATAACCACCTCTAGCTTATCACTGACACCACATGGGAATGGGGTCAGCATGCAGGGGAAAAACAAGGGCTAAAAATAGATGCAAACAGAGCAGTGGGACCCTAATTTTCAGAAACACTTGTCCATTTATAATACATCCGTGTGGAATACTTCTTAGAAGCATTGCACAGTTGTCAATGCTTGTGTCAGAGAACCAGTAAAATTTCAAAGGGGAATTGCACCGATGTTTCAAAATTTCTACCTAATAAAATTGTTAAGGTTTATGCAAAGACATTCAGAGCGTTTTGATGTAAAATGAATCAGAACTGCTCACAGTGGTGGTGACAGGAACAAGACATCTGAAGAGTTTAATGACTCTAAAAGCTCCTTTACAAAAAGTTATTACTTATTTTTTATCACTATTTTACCGTCATCAACATTACACAGAAAAAACTCAGAAGACACGTGTAGGTTTACTGGTGGTTTTGGATAAATAAAATGGCTATATTTGTGTTGTAGTCATGGCGACCCCTGGTTCCTATCACCACCACTGTAAACAAATCAGAGTCTCTATAATCAAACATTTCACTTGGTTCACATCTCAATGGTGGAATTATGCAGACATTTTGCAAAATCTATGAAATTCCCTTTTAATCTGACACATCCACCGATCAGGCATAACATTATGACCACCTCCTTGTTTCTACGCTCATTGTCCATTTTATCAGCTCCACTTACTATATAGGTGCACTTTGTAGTTCTACAGTTACAGACTGTAGTCCATCTGTTTCTCTGCATACTTTGCTAGCCCCCTTTTACCCTGTTCTTCAGTGGTCAGGACCCCCATGGACCCTCACAGAGCAGGTACTATTTGGGTGGTGGATCATTCTCTGCACTGCAGTAACACTGACGTGGTGGTGGTGGTGTGTTAGTGTGTGTTGTGCTGGTACGAGTGGATCAGACACAGCAGTGCTGCTGGAGTTTTTAAACTCCTCAGTGTCACTGCTGGACTGAGAATAGTCCACCAACTAAAAATATCCAGCCAACAGCGTCCTGTGACCACTAATGAAGGACTAGAGGATGACCAACACAAACTGTGCAGCAGCAGATGAGCTATCGTCTCTGACATCTACAAGGTGGACTGACAAGGTAGGAGTGTCTAATAGAGTGGACAGTGAGTGGACACAGTGTTTAAAAACTCCAGCAGCACTGCTGTGTCTGATCCACTCAGACCAGCACAACACACACTAACACACCACCACCACATCAGTGTTACTGCAGTGCTGAGAATGATCCACCACCCAAATAGTACCTGCTCTGTGAGGGTCCATGGGGGTCCTGACCACTGAAGAACAGGGTAAAAGGGGGCTAACAAAGTATGCAGAGAAACAGATGGACTACAGTCTGTAACTGTAGAACTACAAAGTGCACCTATATAGTAAGTGGAGCTGATAAAATGGACAATGAGCGTAGAAACAAAGGAGGTGGTCATAATGTAATGCCTGATTGATGTATAAGTGCATGCAACGTCTGTTTAAATCTCAACTTCAGAATTTTTAATAAAGCAGAACCGAAAGCTTTGTACAAGCTATTTATTTACTGCCGAGACAATACAACCATTACATCCATTCATCCAGCCTTCTCTTATTGATGCATGTAACACTCGTTTAAAAAAAAAAAAAAACAACTCCCTTAAGATACAAGATATATATAACAAATTCAAAATCTTTGGGACAGCTGAAAACACACACATGCAGTAGCATTCAGAGCCCTGTGAATCTTTTATATCTCCACCATTCCAAGCCATTCAGTCCTCCTGTTGAAGCAATTTAAAGCATTAAAAATTCAAAAACAAACTCACCCCCAAACATTCACACAAACGAAAAACATGAATAAAAAAATAGACCTTTTTTCATGTTATATATAGTGGTGGCTGAGCATTGTAATGTAAATAAATAAGCCATTTACCTAAAGCTACAGAACCAAAAGCTACAGCACCAAAAACACAAGCGTCACTTAAAATGTGTTGTTGTTTGTAATTTGAAAGAAACTGAACGTGAGTGTAGAACGTGTTGGAGGTATTGTGGTAATTGCTTTACCAAGGCATGTGTAACATTAAATACTGTGGTACAAAATCTGTTTCATTTTGATGCAGTTTAATGCATTTGCATGTGTACCTTTTTTCAAAACTGAGCTAAGACACGTATTATTGTACTTCTTAATACTGAAATGTAATTTAATACTTAAAACCTTTTAATGAAGATCATAGAGTGGAAGAAGAGATGGAGCTATATGTATAATTTGCTGATATTTTGGAAATGCCTTTAATCATATAACATTGTTTGTGGAGGAAAAGGTTTACCAAGAAAGAGAAATCAGTCAAGCCTTGTGCATGAAGTTTAATATCATAGTGTATGCAGAATTCTTTCCCTGTTAATTTGTTCCAGAATACGGATTAAGGGACAAATTAAAGATACCACAATGAGACAGCCAATGGCAACTCTCACTTAAAATGTTTTAAAGGCAAGGCCAAATAATCAGACACTGTGTGTGTGATTTTGGTTCAAAGCCTTATTGTTCTACGATGGGTGCCAAAACTTTTACTTCCATTGAAGGGGCATTACAAGCCACAACCGGGATTTAAAGTTATTTGTCATGTAATGTAATATCCCCTACTGCAGCACTGCACCCCTCAGCCTCAGATTTTTCATCCTTTTTGTGCGTTTGTTAACCACTACAATACCCAGCATGCATTATCCAAATATGTCATACATCCATCGGCATCCATTCTACGGCAATAAAGAAATCCAAACTGCCAGCACAGCCATTAATATAGAGGCTAACAAAAACAGACGTGGTGTTCACATCACCCGCTCTCTGCGCTGAAGCACTCATAGCTTTTCAAAATTCACCTCACCTTCAAGATACATCATTAAAAGGGGGGGTTTCTAGTCTTTAAACCAGCAGAGCCCACTCTAGAGATCACTGTGGTTGTGAAGTAATAATGGTTAAACTTGAAAATTTGACCCATTTAAGCAAAACTCCAGACAAAATATGGTGCATTACACACAGTACAAGGCGGGTAGACATTCGTGAAAACTGTGAAATCTTGCCTTATGAGCTGGACGATCATACGTGTCTGAAGAACACCACGAGAGACGATACTGAGGAGTCTTTTGGCAGGATTTAATTGCAATAAATTAAACAGCAGAGATAAAAACCTGCAAACTCATACGGCACACTCGGCAGGAACAGCAGCAGAGCAGACAGACGGGCCTTCTGTCCAAGAGTGAACTAATCTAATACAGACAGTAAAAAGCATCTCTGATATTAGAAAAATTCACATCATGGCTTTTCTCTCCATGCTAAACAGCACAGAAAACTCTCAGTCACATTGAAAATCTCCTCCCAGCACGCAAACGCTACACGCAAACTAGTGCTTCCATTCTGTCACTCTCTAGGATTCCAGAGCCTGATTTACACATTCACTCGTCGTCGAAGGTCTGCTGCAGGAGGAAGTTGGCTGCTAGGTTCTCGTTCTTTTCGCAGGCGAAATAAGCCTGGATGACCAGTCCCTCTGGAAACCCCAGGGCTTTTAACTGCAGGACATAAACAAAGACACAGGAAGAAAGTAAATGGTACTGCACTGATGTGTGCTCTTTTCTGATCAGAGCCCCAGTCAGGCAAAAGGTCAAGAAGTTTTAAAGAAACCAGCTGCACGGCTTTTTTGAGTTGTGTCAACCTGACTCAAACGATTGTGAGTTTGGGACAGGGCCGTGCCTAGACTCCTAACTGTACACGGTGAATTAAATACAGTGCATTAAACACAGACGGCTGCATCTTTTTTGACTGAATACAATCCGGTACTTTGATGAAGGGCAGTGATCATAAGGCTACATGACACCCATATAAGCCCTTCATGGCAGCTGACAGAGGTGAATGCAGAGTTTTGAACATTCCTGGTCAAATTACGTTTTGTTGATTTGAACATCCTGTACAAAAAACACACTTAAATATGGCATTTTTGGGGGATTTTCGACATATTGTTTAAATATGAAATATATATATATATATATATATATATATATATATATATATATATATATATATATATATATATATATATAGTTGCTGTCCAAAGAAAAGCATGTACCTCTATTGTTGTGTCTCCATCATTTCAACACACCAGCTGTCCTTTACGTTGTGTGAAAATTCCATGATGAATAGACCAGAAATGAATAGAAATGCTCTAAAATCACTTGGAATAAAATCTCTTTACATGAACTTACACTGAAAGCTAAGAGTGTTTTTGCCTTCTCCTGTAAAGTTACTGTTTTGGAGATATTTGTTTATCTCTGGACAGCTACTAAATATATATATATATATATATATATATATATATATACACACACACCAGCAAAAATAAACAGTGCATTAAAATGTGCAGAAGTGTGTTCTCTGTAGGTGTGTTAATTATTTACACTTAGAAAGTCAACAAAACGTCACCTGACCTGGGGCGCCCGAGCATACGACTGTAAACATTTAGAAACACTTATCCTAACAGAAGTCATTCATCATAAAGGTTTCATTTGCCAGCTTTGATGTGAAGTTGACATAACATCTGTGTCAGGTGACACTGATCTACTTCTGACATCAGGTTGTTATGACACTTTCTGAGGTGAAATGAAGCTTTGTAGACTTTGTAGCTCAGTGTATGTTGCAGTGCTGATAATTCATTCTGATGACAATGTGAAATAATTCATTTGATTTTGGTTCATCATCAGTCTGTGCTAATCAGAAAATGAAATACTATAATACTGGTGTATTAAATTCACTTAGACTACATAAGCTGTTAACATATGGCGTTAAAGCTAATGTTTTTGATTTTAGTGTTTAATATGCATCAAAAGTGCAGACTCGAACCCGTCCACACAGAATGTAAATGTAATTTATTATGTAATTATGTTTTTAGTATATTGCTATTAGTAAAAATTAAAATAATCATATAATGTACATCGGATAGACAGCAAAATGACAACAATCAAAATGACAACAATCAAAATGACGTGAT